GGAGGGAGGAGAGGAGGAAGAGGAGGAGAGGAGGAAGAGGAGGAGAGGAGGAAGAGGAGGAGAGGAGGAAGAGGAGGAGAGAGGAAGAGGAGGAGAGGAGGAAGAGGAGGAGAGGAGGAAGAGGAGGAGAGGAGGAAGAGGAGGAGAGGAGGAAGAGGAGGAGAGGAGGAAGAGGAGGAGAGGAGGAAGAGGAGGAGAGGAGGAAGAGGAGGAGAGGAGGAAGAGGAGGAGAGGAGGAAGAGGAGGAGAGGAGGAAGAGGAGGAGAGGAGGAAGAGGAGGAGAGGAGGAAGAGGAGGAGAGGAGGAAGAGGAGGAGAGGAGGAAGAGGAGGAGAGGAGGAAGAGGAGGAGAGGAGGAAGAGGAGGAGAGGAGGAGAGGAGAGAGGAGGAGAGGAGGAAGAGGAGGAGAGGAGGAAGAGGAGGAGAGGAGGAAGAGGAGGAGAGGAGGAAGAGGAGGAGAGGAGGAAGAGGAGGAGAGGAGGAAGAGGAGGAGAGGAGGAAGAGGAGGAGAGGAGGAAGAGGAGGAGAGGAGGAAGAGGAGGAGAGGAGGAAGAGGAGGAGAGGAGGAAGAGGAGGAGAGGAGGAAGAGGAGGAGAGGAGGAAGAGGAGGAGAGGAGGAAGAGGAGGAGAGGAGGAAGAGGAGGAGAGGAGGAAGAGGAGGAGAGGAGGAAGAGGAGGAGAGGAGGAAGAGGAGGAGAGGAGGAAGAGGAGGAGAGGAGGAAGAGGAGGAGAGGAGGAAGAGGAGGAGAGGAGGAAGAGGAGGAGAGGAGGAAGAGGAGGAGAGGAGGAAGAGGAGGAGAGGAGGAAGAGGAGGAGAGGAGGAAGAGGAGGAGAGGAGGAAGAGGAGGAGAGGAGGAAGAGGAGGAGAGGAGGAAGAGGAGGAGAGGAGGAAGAGGAGGAGAGGAGGAAGAGGAGGAGAGGAGGAAGAGGAGGAGAGGAGGAAGAGGAGGAGAGGAGGAAGAGGAGGAGAGGAGGAAGAGGAGGAGAGGAGGAAGAGGAGGAGAGGAGGAAGAGGAGGAGAGGAGGAAGAGGAGGAGAGGAGGAAGAGGAGGAGAGGAGGAAGAGGAGGAGAGGAGGAAGAGGAGGAGAGGAGGAAGAGGAGGAGAGGAGGAAGAGGAGGAGAGGAGGAAGAGGAGGAGAGGAGGAAGAGGAGGAGAGGAGGAAGAGGAGGAGAGGAGGAAGAGGAGGAGAGGAGGAGAGGAGGAGAGGAGGAAGAGGAGGAGAGGAGGAGAGGAGGAGAGGAGGAAGAGGAGGAGAGGAGGAAGAGGAGGAGAGGAGGAAGAGGAGGAGGAGAGGAGGAGAGGAGGAAGAGGAGGAGAGGAGGAAGAGGAGGAGAGGAGGAAGAGGAGGAGAGGAGGAGAGGAGGAGAGGAGGAAGAGGAGGAGAGGAGGAAGAGGAGGAGAGGAGGAGAGGAGGAGAGGAGGAAGAGGAGGAGAGGAGGAAGAGGAGGAGAGGAGGAAGAGGAGGAGAGGAGGAAGAGGAGGAGAGGAGGAAGAGGAGGAGAGGAGGAAGAGGAGGAGAGGAGGAAGAGGAGGAGAGGAGGAAGAGGAAGAGGAGGAGAGGAGGAAGAGGAGGAGAGGAGGAAGAGGAGGAGAGGAGGAGAGGAGGAGAGGAGGAAGAGGAGGAGAGGAGGAGAGGAGGAGAGGAGGAAGAGGAGGAGAGGAGGAGAGGAGGAGAGGAGGAAGAGGAGGAGAGGAGGAGAGGAGGAGAGGAGGAGAGGAGGAGAGGAGGAGAGGAGGAGAGGAGGAGAGGAGGAGAGGAGGAGAGGAGGAAGAGGAGGAGAGGAGGAAGAGGAGGAGAGGAGGAGAGGAGGAGAGGAGGAGAGGAGGAGAGGAGGAGAGGAGGAGAGGAGGAGAGGAGGAGAGGAGGAGAGGAGGAGAGGAGGAGAGGAGGAGAGGAGGAAGAGGAGGAGAGGAGGAGAGGAGGAGAGGAGGAGAGGAGGAGAGGAGGAGAGGAGGAAGAGGAGGAGAGGAGGAGAGGAGGAGAGGAGGAGAGGAGGAGAGGAGGAGAGGAGAGGAGGAGAGGAGGAGAGGAGGAGAGGAGGAAGAGGAGGAGAGGAGGAGAGGAGGAGAGGAGGAGAGAGGAGAGGAGGAGAGGAGGAGAGGAGGGAGGAGAGGAGGAAGAGGAGGAGAGGAGGAAGAGGAGGAGAGGAGGAAGAGGAGGAGAGGAGGAAGAGGAGGAGAGGAGGAAGAGGAGGAGAGGAGGAAGAGGAGGAGAGGAGGAAGAGGAGGAGAGGAGGAAGAGGAGGAGAGGAGGAAGAGGAGGAGAGGAGGAAGAGGAGGAGAGGAGGAAGAGGAGGAGAGGAGGAAGAGGAGGAGAGGAGGAAGAGGAGGAGAGGAGGAAGAGGAGGAGAGGAGGAAGAGGAGGAGAGGAGGAAGAGGAGGAGAGGAGGAAGAGGAGGAGAGGAGGAAGAGGAGGAGAGGAGGAAGAGGAGGAGAGGAGGAAGAGGAGGAGAGGAGGAAGAGGAGGAGAGGAGGAAGAGGAGGAGAGGAGGAAGAGGAGGAGAGGAGGAAGAGGAGGAGAGGAGGAAGAGGAGGAGAGGAGGAAGAGGAGGAGAGGAGGAAGAGGAGGAGAGGAGGAAGAGGAGGAGAGGAGGAAGAGGAGGAGAGGAGGAAGAGGAGGAGAGGAGGAAGAGGAGGAGAGGAGGAAGGAGAGAGGAGGAGAGGAGAGAGGAGGAAGAGGAGGAGAGGAGGAAGAGGAGGAGAGGAGGAAGAGGAGGAGAGGAGGAAGAGGAGGAGAGGAGGAAGAGGAGGAGAGGAGGAGAGGAGGAGAGGAGGAAGAGGAGGAGAGGAGGAAGAGGAGGAGAGGAGGAAGAGGAGGAGAGGAGGAAGAGGAGGAGAGGAGGAAGAGGAGGAGAGGAGGAAGAGGAGGAGAGGAGGAAGAGGAGGAGAGGAGGAAGAGGAGGAGAGGAGGAAGAGGAGGAGAGGAGGAAGAGGAGGAGAGGAGGAAGAGGAGGAGAGGAGGAAGAGGAGGAGAGGAGGAAGAGGAGGAGAGGAGGAAGAGGAGGAGAGGAGGAAGAGGAGGAAGAGGAGGAGAGGAGGAAGAGGAGGAGAGGAGGAAGAGGAGGAGAGGAGGAAGAGGAGGAGAGGAGGAAGAGGAGGAGAGGAGGAAGAGGAGGAGAGGAGGAGAGGAGGAGAGGAGGAGAGGAGGAGAGGAGGAGAGGAGGAGAGGAGGAGAGGAGGAGAGGAGGAGAGGAGGAAGAGGAGGAGAGGAGGAGAGGAGGAGAGGAAGAGGAGGAGAGGAGGAAGAGGAGGAGAGGAGGAAGAGGAGGAGAGGAGGAAGAGGAGGAGAGGAGGAAGAGGAGGAGAGGAGGAAGAGGAGGAGAGGAGGAAGAGGAGGAGAGGAGGAAGAGGAGGAGAGGAGGAAGAGGAGGAGAGGAGGAGAGGAGGAGAGGAGGAGAGGAGGAAGAGGAGGAGAGGAGGAGAGGAGGAGAGGAGAGGAGGAGAGGAGGAAGAGGAGGAGAGGAGGAGAGGAGGAGAGGAGGAGAGGAGGAGAGGAGGAGAGGAGGAGAGGAGGAGAGGAGGAGAGGAGGAGAGGAGGAGAGGAGGAGAGGAGGAGAGGAGGAGAGGAGGAGAGGAGGAGAGGAGGAGAGGAGGAGAGGAGGAGAGGAGGAGAGGAGGAGAGGAGGAGAGGAGGAGAGGAGGAGAGGAGGAGAGGAGGAGAGGAGGAGAGGAGGAGAGGAGGAGAGGAGGAGAGGAGGAGAGGAGGAGAGGAGGAGAGGAGGAGAGGAGGAGAGGAGGAGAGGAGGAGAGGAGGAGAGGAGGAGAGGAGGAGAGGAGGAGAGGAGGAGAGGAGGAGAGGAGGAGAGGAGGAGAGGAGGAGAGGAGGAGAGGAGGAGAGGAGGAGAGGAGGAGAGGAGGAGAGGAGGAGAGGAGGAGGAGAGGAGGAGAGGAGGAGAGGAGGAGAGGAGGAGAGGAGGAGAGGAGGAGAGGAGGAGAGGAGGAGAGGAGGAGAGGAGGAGAGGAGGAGAGGAGGAGAGGAGGAGAGGAGGAGAGGAGGAGAGGAGGAGAGGAGGAGAGGAGGAGAGGAGGAGAGGAGGAGAGGAGGAGAGGAGGAGAGGAGGAGAGGAGGAGAGGAGGAGAGGAGGAGAGGAGGAGAGGAGGAGAGGAGGAGAGGAGGAGAGGAGGAGAGGAGGAGAGGAGGAGAGGAGGAGAGGAGGAGAGGAGGAGAGGAGGAGAGGAGGAGAGGAGGAGAGGAGGAGAGGAGGAGAGGAGGAGAGGAGGAGAGGAGGAGAGGAGGAGAGGAGGAGAGGAGGAGAGGAGGAGAGGAGGAGAGGAGGAGAGGAGGAGAGGAGGAGAGGAGGAGAGGAGGAGAGGAGGAGAGGAGGAGAGGAGGAGAGGAGGAGAGGAGGAGAGGAGGGCGAACATGGAAGAAAGGAGAGAGCACAGAAAAAAAGTTAACCTTCTCTCCTCAACTTCTTCTACGCTCACCTTGTCTTTCCTCTTCCCAGCTGTTGGATTCGAAGGCCATCTGCTGCTGCTCAAAGTGCAGCTAGAGGTGCCAAAGTGCTCATTTCTAACAGAGCTCACCGTGTTCCATGTACTTTCTGGCCACACCCTAGCAGCTGGAGGGCCATCTGGCGGAGGTACTGCGTAAAGTGCTGGTGGATGTGAAGGAGTGCCCCTTCTAACAGGCTTAACTCTGTTGAGTCTGGACCGCTACCATCAAAATGTTGCTGCTGCTGCTCAAAAAGTGCTCATCCAGGTGTTTGTTGGGATGCCCTGTTTCTATAAACTTATCAATGCCAACGGTTTTCCTCCTCCCTTTCTAAGCCTCAGCTGGACATCTGCTGCTGCTCAAAGTGCTTGTTGAGGTGGTGGAGTGCCCTTTCTCTACAAACCCATCTCTCATAACCTTCTGCTTCTCCTCCCTTGGCATGCAATGCCTCAGCTACTGGAGGGCCATCTGCTTTTTCTCAAAGTACTGGTGGAGGTGCTGAAGTGCCCCGTTTCTACAAACCTGATAATGCTAACACGTTTCTCCTTCCCTGCCTCACCCCAGTTGTTGGAAGGCCATCTACTGCTGCTTAAAGTGCTTGTGGAGGTGCTGGAGTGTCGCCCCACTGTGGCCTGCTCTCCACCCCACGGCCATGGGCTCTTGCACCTGGTGCGTTGTGTGCTGGGGGAAGAGGGCGGATGTGTGTAGAGTAGTATGTGAACTCAAAAAACTTAGCTGAGTGCACAGTTTCCAGTTGACTCAAAATCCAGGACTAAGGCATGTTCCCATCGACAGAAGATGCTGATTCTGGTTGTTTTTACATTCAACCATGCGCCTGCTGTTTGATCGATTTGTTTCCTTTTCTCTCTTATCCAATGTCGCACCTTGCTTCTCCATCCCATCCACCCGCCCTCCCTCCCTGCAGCTCATCACTCGCTGCCTCTTTCCCGAGTGGCCGGTGGTCGTTCCAAGCCACCGACAACAACAACCGCCACAGCAGCAACAACACCACAACCACCATCACCACCAACAACAACAACACCAACAGCAACAGCAGCAGCCACCTGGCGAATCCTCTCCTCCCACGACCTGGGGCTTTCTCTCTTCTAGCCCCCACGATGCTGCAGTCTTCCGCCCCTTCTGCTCTGCCTCGCCCTCCCGCAACGCTGCCTTCACCCTCCTCATCGCCCTCTGCGCCAAGGTATGTGTGTGTATCACGTTACTATTGAACTTTCTAACTGTTACGGGTGATGTTGCTGCTACTTTTGAGTATAATCGAAGGCTCCGCCGCGCCCACTCCTATCCTCGTCATCCTCTCGCAATGCTGCATTGACACCCCCCTCCCCACCCTGCGACAATGTGAGCCTGATGTTAAAGTGCTGTAGGGTTTCTGAAAAATCTCAAAAACAACCTACAACATGAAGTTACTGAAGATCACGCCTCCTCACAACCCCCCTTCTCATCTCAGGCCCGCCCGTGTCCTCCTCCTACCGCCCCCTCTCCCATGTCTCCTCTATGCAGATCGCAGAAGCCTTGAAGAAGCTCACCTCTCGATGCCCCACTGCCTGCACTTTGGCTGAGCTTTGCGGCACCTCACAACACTTCCCCCTCGCAAACCCCCACCCCTTATCCTGTTACCGCCCCCTCCCCCCTCTTTCTTCCATACAGACCCCTGAAGCCCTACGGGAGCTCGCCTCACTGCTGTTGCCGCTGCACTTCGCCTCGCTGGAGCACGAGTTGCCATCATGGGAGTACCTCCCCAGCTGCGCCCCCCGGCCACGCGTGGGATATGCAGGCCTCAAGAACGCAGGTGCGTGGCAAGGCAAGCAACAACACAACTAAGCCTTGTCTTGCATGCACTGCGCCAAGACTAGGAGACCTTGTTGTTCCACCGACGCGAAGTGCAGGTATGGTGCAATGCATGCATCTCCCGCTCTCACAGTGACTTGGTCCACTGTAGCTGCACTTCGCCTCTGTGGAGCACGAGTTGCCATCATGGGAGTACCTCCCCAGCTGCGCCCCCCGGCCTCGGGTGGGATACGCGGGACTCAAGAATGCAGGTATGTAGCAAAATTGTCGGCCGTGCAAGAATGCATGTACATCCTGCATGCATTCCGTCAAAACTAGAAGACCTTGCCGCTGTTCTCAAATCTCAGAGTAGGGGACCTTGTGCGCTTTGCCTCTCTGGAGCACGAGCTGCTGTCATGGGAATACCTCCCCAGCTGTGCTCCCCTCCCCGGCCACGTGCAGCCTATTCCGATCTCAAGCTATGCTGCTTGCACCTGACGCTCCAAAATTGGAGTGTGCGACATGAACAGTGTATCCCAGCATGAAATTTCCAGCGCCTGTTGCATGAACAGTGTATCCCAGCATGAAATTTCCTCATGGAGCCCCCAGCGCCTGGTCAGTCAACTCAAACGTTGAGGCTACCTATTTCCTTCCCCACTTTGTCGCTGCTTTACCTGCCCCCACCCCCAGGAGCCATGTGCTACATGAACAGTGTGTTCCAGCAGCTCTTCATGCAGCCCCACGTGACTTATAAGTTGCTGAAATTATTAATCCTTTGACCCCCATTTGAATGTCTTGTCCTCCCTCTCACCCCAGGAGCCACGTGCTACATGAACAGTGTGTTTCAGCAGCTCTTCATGCAGCCCCAAGTGCGCCGTGCGCTTCTCGCCTTCCCCGAGACGCCCGAGTCGGACCGGCCGCTGTCTGTGATCTATCAAGTGCAGGTAATGCGTGGGACCGGTGTTCTGTGGAGCTTATGGCATGTACTGGGACAGGCTGTTAAGGGGTACAATCAGCCGCAAGTGTGTCGCGCCCTCCTCGCCTTCCCAGAGACGCCCGAGTCGGTCTGACCGCTGTCCGTGATCTACCCAGTGCAGGTAATGTGCGGTATTGGTGTTTCATGGAGATTATGCGCTGTACTGGGACAAAGTATTAAGGGGTACAGGCAGCTCAAATGTGGGGTGTCTCCTCGCATTGCGAGGGACGCCCGAGCCCGACCGGCGGCTGTCTGTGATCTACCACGTGCAGGTAGTGCGGTTGGAGCTCTTATGCATTCTTCTGTACAATGGGTTATTACCAAGAGAGGTATAGCCTCCTTCCGGTCTCCTGCAATTTGCTGCCATTGCCTGGCGTTTCCTGTATCTGAAGGGCAGATATGTTGAAATCACTTTTGAGAATTCTCAAAAGTGATTTCAACATTGCTTGGCGCGTTTCCAATGTCTGAAGGGTAGATCAAGACACTCTTCTGTCTGTCATCTCCTCCACTCCCCTTGAAAGACGATAGTTTGTCGTGCGATACAGGTGATTGTACGCAAGATGGGTTGGTTGGGAATGTCATGTATGGTTGACAGGTAATACTTGTGCAACGTGTGTGTTGCACAGGATTGCCTTGTAACATGCATAGTGGTCTCGACTCTCTCTCTCTAGTGCCCCGAGGTGCTGCATATCTAACGATCATCAACACAACCCTCACCAGATCTGCCTCGTCTCTTCTTTGCCTTCTCCCTTTCCTCAATTCCTCTTGTTTCAGCCGCCCGCAGGCCATATTCAGCTATCTGCTAGCCGGCTGTGCGAACTACTTCGTCCCAGGGGGTTTCTGAGATGCTTTTCGAGGCTACAATGGGCAGCCAGTGAAACCTCGGGAGCACCAACCAAGACACCTTTGAGCCCAGCTTCTCTTACCTCCCTTCCCCTTACCCTGTCTCGCTCCTCTTTTCCGTTTCTCTCCTTCTCCTCTCCTCCGGGTCTCCCCTCCCCTCCCCTACAGGTCATATTCAGCTATCTGCTAGCTGGTTGTCCTGATTACTTTGTTCCAGAGGGTTTCTGGGATGCGTTTCGGGACTACGATGGGCAGCCGGTGAACCTGAGGGAGCACCAAGACGCCTTTGAGTTCTTCAACCGCCTCTACGACTCATTGGATGAGAGCATGAAGGCTCAGCGGCACTCCCCCACGCTTACCTCTATTTTTGGAGGGGCCTTCGCTCAGCAGGTGAGCGGTGTGGTGTGGTGTGGTGCGGTGTGGTACAGTGTGGTGCGGTGGTACTCTGTCGGTGTGTATGCACGTGGCCACCTTGAGTTCTTCAACCGCCTCTACAACTTGTTGGATGAGAGAGCATGAAGGCTCAGTGGCACTCCCCTACGCTCACCTCTATTTTTGGAGGGGCGTTTGCTCAGCAGGTGTGTGTGTGTGAGAGAGAGTTGTGAATGTCGAAGGAGCATGCCTGTGTGTCTCTCATGGGTGTGGGTGGTTTGGGTTCTTCAACCGCCTCTATGACTCGGACTTGCTGGATGAGAACTCGAAGGCGCAACAACACTCTGCCAGGCTCACCTCCACCTCTGGGGGTGCCTTTGCTCAAGCCCGCACTTCAGATTGTGATCGCTTTTGAGATTTCTCAAAAGTGGCCTTCAGGAATCACTAGAGACGCATCTCTCTCATTCCATCCCTTTCTTCTCCCCACTGGTACCCTCCTCTTTCCCTCTTGCCTGCAGATCATCTGTCGGGGTTGTCCCCATCGCAGTGAGAGGGAGGAGCCATTTGCAGCAGTGAGTGTGGACGTGAAGGGCAAGAGGGGCCTGCAGGAGTCACTAGAGGCGTTTGTGCAAGGGGACTTGCTCGAGGCAGATAATGCCTACTTCTGTGGCCAGTGCGGCAAGAAGGTGAGCCGCAGCAGGGCGTTAGGGCGGTGGATGATGTTAAGCTGAGCGCCGGCGGTGGATGATGTTAAGCTGAGCGCCACAGTGCATGCCTGCACAATGCCTTAGTGCTGCTGAAGGGCAAGAGGGGCCTGCAGGAGTCACTAGAGGCGTTTGTGCAAGGCGACCTGCTGGAGGCAGATAACGCCTACTTCTGTGGGCAGTGCAGCAAGAAGGTGAGCGGCAGCAGAGGGTGGGTGGGTGGTGAGTACAATGGGCTTGTGAGTCGATGCAGAAAGCACCACAGCACACCACGTTGCCTGAATGCTGAAGGGCGAGCGCGGCCTGCAGGAGTCACTGGAGGCGTTTGTGCAAGGGGACCTGCTCGAGGCAGATAACTCCTACTTCTGTGGGCAGTGTGGCAAGAAGGTGAGCGGCAGCAGAGGGTGGGTGGGTGGTGAGTACAATGGGCTTGTGAGTCGATGCAGAAAGCACCACAGCACGCCACGTTGCCTGAATGCTGAAGGGCGAGCGCGGCCTGCAGGAGTCACTGGAGGCGTTTGTGCAAGGGGACCTGCTCGAGGCAAATAATGCTTACTTCTGTGGGGAGTGCGGCAAGAAGGTGAGTGGCAGCAGCAGGGGGTAGCTAGGCAGGGCGGTGTTTGAAGAGCACCGAGCATCACAATGCCTGCTTTATTGCCTTAGTGCTGTTGCTGGAGGCAGATAACGCCTACTTCTGTAGGCAGTGCGGCAAGAAGGTGAGTGGCAGGGGATGGGGTTAGACATGAGCACAAGGGCGAACACCACGTTCGAGGCGAACCGAACAGGTTTGTTTTATTTGCTTAAATTGTTCGCCGAACAGTGTTCGATGTTCGCCCGAACACGTTCGTGTTCGGGCCGCTGCTGCAATTTGCCCCGCGACGAACACGAACGTGTTCGAGGTTCGCCCGAACACGCCTTCACAGGCGAACGGCGAACACGTGTTTTTGCTTAAAGTGTTCGCCGAACCAAACAGTGTTCGGTTCGGCAAACGGATGTGTTCGTCTAGGGGCGAACACGAACATGTTCGTGTTCGCCCCTTGCTCATCCCTAGATGCGGTTGTTGGTGGGTGGTGGTGGTGTTTGTGAGGGAAGTGTGCAGAGTTGCTCTATGCCTTAACGCCCATTGAGCCACCTAGAAACAAAAATCTTTCCCCATTTTGTCCCTCCTTACATCCCTCACTCACCTCTCGTTTTACCTGTACTGCTTGCTGCAGGTGGATGCATTGAAGCGTGTGTGCAACAAGTCCCTGCCTTTTGGGCCGACCAAATAAAATAAAAATTGCTCCACACTCTGCTCACGTTTCGCCCCTCATCGTGCCTGTACCTTTTTCAGGTGGACGCACTGAAGCGTGCGTGCATCAAGACCCTGCCGCCCACCCTGATAATTCACCTGAAGCGTTTCGACTTTGACTACGAGACGATGCAGCGGCTGAAGCTGAAGGACCGATTCGCCTTCCCCCTCACTCTCAACATGCGGCCGTTCACCCGAGAAGGGCTCGCTCAGAAGGAGAGAGAGCAGACAAGGGGACGGGTAGGGGGTGCAGAGGGGAAGGAGGAAGGGAGGGACGAGGGGAGAGAGAGAGAGCAGGGGCGGGAGGAGGGAGAGGGGGAGGAGAGGGTGCAGGGGAGGGGAGAGGAGGAGGATAAAGGAGGTGAAAGTGTGAAGGAATCCAGAGAGGATAGGGTTGAAGGGGGTGTGGAGGAGAAGGGAGCTGGAGGTGGGGAGGAGAGGAGCGACGGGTACTATGAGTACAGCTTGGTGGGGGTAGTGGTGCATTCTGGAACGGCGTTTGCGGGGCATTATTACTCGTACATCAAGGAGAGGAGCGGCGATTCTCCGCTGCATCACAGCCGTCCATCTCAATCCGTGCGGTCGAAGTGAGTCAAGCGGAGGGGCAGTGGGTGAGACGATGGCTGAGCGAGTCAAAATTGGGTCAAGCAGAGTTGCATTGGGTCAGACAAAGTCAGAACGAGTGAGAGCGAGGTAAGCAGAGCTGCAAATATTCAGCGCGAGTCAAAGTGGGTCAAGCAGAGCTGCAGTGGATCCGATCAGACAAAGTCAAAGCGAGTCAAGGGGATGTGTGAGTCGAAAGCAAGAAGAAGAGAGTCAAACTAGTCAACGGGAGCGGGCGGCATCAGAAGGTATGGTGGCCCGTGCGTGCATGCATGTGTGAAGATAGAAACTCACTCTCACCCCCCTGTCGTGTGCACTGCAGGCAGCGGTGGCTGTGCTTCGATGACAAACGGGTGGAGGCGTACAATGTGAGGGAGCTGGAGAAGGACTGCTTCGGAGGGAAGTACTCCGCTGAGGTGTATGACAACCTCATCAAGACCTCGTCGCCTCAGGTGAGTGATGCTTGTTGCTCTCGCAAGTGGAACTAACCCGCTGAGGTGAGGTGTACGCCAACCTTATCAAGACCACGTCGCCTCAGGTAAAGGATGCAACCTCACTCTCAACCACCCATTTCCTCACTCTCAACCACCCATTTCCTCACTCTCAACCAACCACCCATTCTCTCACTCTTGCTCACCCATTTTCTCACTAACTCACCCAATTACTTTCTCACCCACCCATTTTCTCATTCTTACCCATTTTCTCGTTCTCACCCACCCAGTTCTTACTGTCTCGCTTTCCTCATTGTCACCCACCTTTTGAGAATTCTCAAAAATTTCCTCATTGTCACCCACCTTTTGAGAATTCTCAAAAATTTCCTCATTGTCACCCACGCTTTCCTCATTGTCACCCACGCTTTCCTCATTGTCACCCACGCTTTCCTCATTGTCACCCACGCTTTCCTCATTGTCACCCACGCTTTCCTCATTGTCACCCACGCTTTCCTCATTGTCACCCACCCTTTTTCTCACTCAGATTACCATTTACCTCACTTCCACTCGCCCATTCCTAAACCTTAAACCCTAAACCCGTCTTCTCACTCTTCTCACTCACCTGTTTCTTCCCGCGCACCCTTTTCCTCTCTCAACGCTCTTTCCACCCACATGATTTTGAACCCCCCCCCAAGAGCGTATACATGTTCTTTTATGAAGAAAACTCCCCCACTCCTGCAGCGAGTGCATGCTATTATCTCTTCAATTGCGTGTATAAACTGTCTCTCGGTTGTCTTCCCCCCCCTCTGCCCCCATAGGAGTTTGACCGGCCCAACAGCGCGTACATGCTTTTCTATGAGCGAATCGCTCCCACTGCTGCTGGTACCAGCACTACCAGTGCTGCCTTTGTGGCCGCCAATACCGCTGCCACCACCACTGCCACAGGTGGTGCTGCCAATATAGCTGCAACTGCAGAAGGGATGAGGGCGACAGGAGAGGCGCCAGCAGCGGCAGCCACAGCAGAGACAGCAGCAGGCGCCCCAACCACCAGCACCACTGCCATCACCATCACCCCATGTACAGTAGCAGAGGAGAGGGCGGATGGAGCTGTAGAGCCTTACAGCATCCCTCCCAGCATACACCACTGCGTGTGGCAAGACAACCTCAGGTAGGGGACAGGACAACCTCATGTATAGGAAAAGGGAATTCGGTAGGTAGATCAAAAGTAGAAGTCGCTGCTGCTCTTGGCTCACCTCAAACCGGATTACATCCATATCCCACAAACCGGATTACATCCATATCCCACAAACCGGATTACATCCATATCCCACAAACCGGATTACATCCATATCCCACAAACCGGATTACATCCATATCCCACAAACCGGATTACATCCATATCCCACAAACCGGATTACATCCATATCCCACAAACCGGATTACATCCATATCCCACAAACCGGATTACATCCATATCCCACAAACCGGATTACGTCCATATCCCACAAACCGGATTGCATCCATATCCCACAAACCGGATTACATCCATATCCCACAAACCGGATTACATCCATATCCCACAAACCAGATTACATCCATATCCCACAAACCAGATTACATCCATATCCCACAAACCGGATTACATCCATATCCCACAAACCGGATTACATCCATATCCCACAAACCGGATTACATCCATATCCCACAAACCGGATTACATCCATATCCCACAAACCGGATTACATCCATATCCCACAAACCGGATTACATCCATATCCCACAAACCGGATTACATCCATATCCCACAAACCGGATTACGTCCATATCCCACAAACCGGATTACATCCATATCCCACAAACCGGATTACATCCATATCCCACAAACCGGATTACATCCATATCCCACAAACCAGATTACATCCATATCCCACAAACCAGATTACATCCATATCCCACAAACCGGATTACATCCATATCCCACAAACCGGATTACATCCATATCCCACAAACCGGATTACATCCATATCCCACAAACCGGATTACATCCATATCCCACAAACCGGATTACATCCATATCCCACAAACCGGATTACATCCATATCCCACAAACCGGATTACATCCATATCCCACAAACCGGATTACATCCATATCCCAACGATACATATCCCAAGATTACATCCATATCCCAGAAACCAGATTACATCCATATCCCACAAACCGGATTACATCCATATCCCACAAACCGGATTACATCCATATCCCACAAACCGGATTACATCCATATCCCACAAACCGGATTACATCCATATCCCACAAACCGGATTACATCCATATCCCACAAACCGGATTACATCCATATCCCACAAACCGGATTACATCCATATCCCACAAACCGGATTACATCCATATCCCACAAACCGGATTACATCCATATTCCTCAAGCTACTTCCCCCTGCCCCCTATCTATCCATTCCTCAGGTTCAGCACCATTAGTCACCGTCTGCTTTCCCCCAGACGTACCTCTCCCCCTCATCTATCCTGCCCACTTCTTGCTGTCTGCGCGGCGCTTGAAACGAAACACATTCATCCTTTCCCACCTTTACTCCTCCATCCATCCGTGTGCGTTGCAGTGCAGATTCAAGCTACAACAGCCGCAGTGCAGATTCGCAGTTGTTGTGTAGCGAGGCACCTTCAAACAAACTCCCGTCCTTCTCCTGCTCCTCTATCTATCCGCGTGCGTGGCAGGCTTACAGTAGGAGTCACGGCCATTGAGCCAAATGTACTTCCACTTCAGCTAGGCACCCCAAACAAGCCCCCTTTTTCCCCCCTCCCTCTTCCATTCCTCTGTCTATCTGTGCGCATGGCAGGTTTCAGCAGGAGTCGCGGCTATTGGATCAGACATACTTCCGCTTCCTGCTGCAGCTCGCATGGGTCAACCTCGACGTCTTCCAAATGTCAGTTCAATTCAATTCGACCCACCGCCCCCTTACTTCGTCACCGTCTGTTTCCTGCCCAACATGTCGTGAGAAAGATGATGTTCGAGGCACTTCAAGAGTTTTACTCTCACACTCCATTGCTTTCCTCCGCAATATTCCGTCCACCAGGTGCGACCATCGAGGCAAGATGGCGGCATTGTCAGACGCAAGGGCAGGCGGGGTGAAGGCGTCACCACAGCGCAGCGAAGCACTGAGGGTGGAGCGAGCAGCAGCGGAGAGGAGGGGTGTGGGCTTCAACAGGTCTCGCTCAGAGTCCATTCCTTCACTCAGAAATATTCCTCACCACTCCACGTACCTTCGCTCCTCCACTGCAGGTGCCATGACCGAGGAAAAATGGCGGCACTATCAGATGCGAGGGCAGGCGGGGTGAAGGCATCACCACAGCGCAGCGAAGCACTGAGGGTGGAGCGAGCAGCGGAGGAGACTGCAGAGGCGCTGCTGTCGCTGCTGCTGCCGTTCCTCTTCCGGGTCTACCTGAGAGCACATACCAGCCTAAGGACAGAGGATCCTCTGTGGACAGTAAGGGGCCGGTGGGAGAAGGGGATAGAGGGGGTGTATCTTCCACTTCCACTGCCGTTCCTCTTCCAGGCTCACTTGCAAGTGCATGCCAACCTCAGGACAGAAGATCCTCATTAGATGGTGAATGGCAGATGGGGGTTGGTAGATGCATGGCTGGGGCAACACTCCCCGCTCTCTCCCCTCGCCCCGTCTTCGTTCCATGATTCCATCCCCCTCAACGCATCACATCACTGTCAGAAAATTGTAGCCTTCACTCCAGTTCTATGACAGAGGCTGGCCGCCAACAGCGCAGCCTGTCGCCTCTTCAACGCCAGGCTGGCGAGCAATGTGTCTTGTTGGCTCAACTCACTCCTCTCCCCTCGCACATTCTCCTCTTCCTATTGCAATGCCCCACAGGTCGTGCTATCTCGCATGCTCGACGCCAACAGCACAGCCTGCCGCCTCTTCAATGCACGCATGGCGGGCAACAGGCGGTGGCTCTTGCAATTCCTCCTCAAATGCCCCATCAACGCCATCTCCGTGGTACGTCTTAGCTGAATCACGTTCAGTTGGGAATTCTCAAACGGAGAATGAAATGCTCCCATCAACTCCATCCACCTCTTTTCTCCTTCCCTCTTTCCACCAGTCTGTAGCGGACCTGCTGGTAACCCGCTGCCATATTAATGGCAGGGCCCCAATGCACCTCCTCCCACCTGTCACCTTCCACCTCCCTTCCTTCCCCCCATCCTTCCCACCAGTCTGTTGCAGACTTGCTGGTTAACTGCCACATCATTAGCAGGGCCTCAATGCACCTCCTCCCACCTCCTTTCCCCTTCCTCCTTTTCCACCAGGCTGTAGCGGATGTGCTGGTAACCAGCTGTCACAGCGCCACCTGCTTCGTGAATGCACGTCCATTGGCTGCTGGTTCAACAGTGCCCACTGCAACTCCTGATGCGGCTGCTGCTGCAGCTGGAGGAGCTCCTGATGGGTCGGCAGGGGATGCTGGGGCAGCTGGAGCAGCAGGAGGGGCAGGGGCAGGTGCAGCAGGGGAAGATGCATTGAATGTGGACGCGTTGATTGATTCGCTGGTGTCGCTGCTGAGAGACGCCAGTGGCCCCTCCTGTCACGTGGACAACGTGAGTGAGCTATTTTTGTGAATTCAAGAAGATGCATCGAATGTGGACGCATTGATTGATTCGCTGGTGTCACTTTTGAGAGACACTAGTTCCCCCATCTGACATGTTGACAACGTGAGTGAGCTACTATTGAGAATTCTCAAAAGCAAGATGCATTGAATGTGGACGCGCTGATTGATTCGATGGTGTCGCTGCGGAGAGACGCCAGTGCCCTCTCCTGCCACGTGGACAACGTGAGTGACCTGCTGGCTAGTCATGATTCTTGTGGTTACCCTGTTTACTTCTGGGTTACCCGATTTCTGCTGGTTTTGATAGCTTTATAGCTCCCCGCTCGATTCTCTATTCTTGCTCCTCTCCCCTCCCCCACCCCTCCCCCCATCTTTGGGACCTCTCAACACAAAAGTGCTTTCTTTTCTCCTCTTGTTTCCCTCCTCTCCCCTCCCTTCCCCGCCCTGCAGCTCTGCAGCATCTTCGTGGAGTATGCCCGCATCAACCCAACCCAGCATCCAGCCCTTCACCTCCCTGCTCTGTGCTTGTCATTCCTCTCTCCTCTTGCTCCCCTGCCCTCCCTTCCCCTCCCTGCAGCTCTTCAGCGTCTTGGTGAAATATGCCTGCATCGGCCTTACACGGCATCTCTCTCTCTCTCTCTCTCTCTCTCTCTCTCTCTCTCTCTCTCTCATCCAGCAACCAGCCGTTTACCTTCCTCCTTGTGCTTGACTCTGAGCTCTCCTCTCATTCCCCTCCCCCCGGCCGCTCCCTGCAGCTGTGCAGCATCTTAGTGGAGTATGCACGCATCGGCCCCACACAGCGCCTCTCCCTCATTCGCAGACAGCTGCCCGCCACCTGTGTACGTGCCGTGAGGTGCTGTGATGTGCTGTGAGGTGCTGAGGTTCCGTGAGGTGCCGTGAGGTGCTGTGAGGTGCCGTGAGGTGCTGTGAGGTGCTGTGAGGTGCTGTGAGGTGCCGTGAGGTGCTGTGAGGTGCTGTGAGGTGCCGTGAGGTGCTGTGAGGTGCTGTGAGGTGCTGTGAGGTGCTGAGAGGCTGTGATAAGTGCCGTGAGGCGGCCCAGCCTAACTGTGCCTTGGGTGGCGTTTTGATCCGTCTCAATTCTTATCCGCCGACAGTTGCCCGGACCGACAGTTGCCCACCTCCCGTATACATGTGGAGTGAGCTTGCATTGAGTGCTGGAAGTGCTGTTAGAAGCAAGAGTTGGAAGCGCTATTGGTGGTTTTGGAGAGCCATGCTCTCCCACCCAGTGGTCGATCTAGAGCCATGCCTGTGTACATGCTTTCGAAGCGAACACGGAAAGAGCATGTCCATCTTATGCTTTTCCCATTGTGCTTTGCTGTCCTCGATGCCTTCTGCCTGTTCGTCCTACCCTCGTCCCCGTCCGCAGCTGGACTGTCTCGCTCGACCGAGTGGGCACTGCTTTGCAGCAGCAAGGTGACTTTTGAGTCGACTCAAAAGTCACTCCTCCCCACCCCCTTCCCCTCTTACCTGTTCCAGCTGGACTATCTGGACCGAGTGGGAATCGCAGCAGCAGCCAAGCTGCATCTCTCGCCCCTCCACTCCCTCCTCTCCATCCTCATCCGCTCCTGTCACCCCCGCCCGCCCCCCTCTCGCCGCCCCGCCCCCGCTTCCACCCCTGCATCAGCGGGGGACGAGGGGGGGGATGAGGAGGGGAAAGGGGAAGGGCACGAAGGGGGAGGGGAAGCAAGGGCGCATGGCAAGGGAGGGGGGAGGAGGAAGGGGGAGGGCAGGGCACATGGGAGGGAGGAGAGGGGTAAGGGGAAGGCGGGGCAGGGGGGGGGAGAGAGGCGGAGGGGGCATGGTGGGGCTTCTGCAGGGGCAGCAGGGGCGGCAGGGGCAGTGGGGGAGGCGGAAGAGGAAGGAGGGGAGGAGGAGGACGCTGGGTTGCAAAATCCGGCGTTTTTTGGCCGCCCGGTGGCGGTGCTGCCGCCCCGTGTGGCTCAGCTTGCAACAGATCCGGAATACGTCAATCTGCTGGTAAGCATTTCTTCTTATTCTGGTAACTATCTCCTGTATATGTGTGTGGAATGGTTCGTATGATGGCCCATGTGTGGCCCAGCTTGCTTCAGATCGCACCATCCCGAATATGTGAATCTGCTGATAAGGGTGTGTGGGAGGGTGTGTGGGAGGGTGTATCGTGGTGGGTGTGGGATGCTTTTATTCTCTCGTTTGCCTCTCTCCTGTCCTGTTTCTCCGTTTCTCCTCCCATTCCACCCTACATTTCATTTTCCCGCTTCACTCCGCGCCCTCTCTTTTCCCACTCTCTATTCCCCTCTCTCTCCCACTCCACTTGCCCCCACACCAGATAACGTCCAATCTGGACAACCACGACGCCATCTCTCTCCTCCTCTACATCTCCTTTGGCAACGAGAGCGAAAGCATTGCACGTCCCTCTCTTCAACTGAAACGGTCCTTTTGTTCGATACCGGCCTTGAGTATATGCAAAGGATGCATGTACAGAGGCGGACAGCTGCTGACAAGCTACCGCATACCAGTTTTGAGACGTCTCAAAAACAGCTGCTGACAAGCTACCGCATACCCTTTCTCTCTATACTTATCTCCGTTCTGTTAGCTTATGCTGGTCTGTGCTCACTGTTCCTTGTGCCTCATCCCATGACCCTAACTCCCTTCATTCGTTCAACTTGCCTCGATAACAGCCTTCAAAGCCCAGATGATGTGCGGTTTCCAATTCCTGTTTTTCTAAATTTATATTCAGTGCTTTTCCCAATCATCTTCCCCTCTTTCCTCCCCCCACCACACCTCCCCCCTTGTAACCCTCCTCCCCCCTCCCCTTCCGCACGCCCTTTTTCAAAATGCCTTGGGTTTGATACGTGTCTCACTGAGGCTCAATTCTCAATCCTGACTCTTTCACGGCTCCACCTCTCCCTGTACTCCTCCCCACTTGGCCTTCCCTTTCTCCCACCTTCCCTACCCCCCCTAAACCCGTACCCTTTCCTAAATAGACTGTGCTTTGCGAGGCCATGAGTTCTCTTGCATGTGCTTTGCGAGGCCATGAGTTCTCTTGCATGTGCTTTGCGAGGCCATGAGTTCTCTTGCATGTGCTTCCCGCTGTTTCCACACATCACGTGCACCACTCTTTTGAGGCGCCTCAAAAGCCATTGCGACCTCCACTCTTCCCCACTGCATCCTCCCTTTTCCCGCCCTCTTTTCTTCCCCCCCTTCCTCCTTTTCTCCCCCGTCCGTTCTCCCCCCTCCCCAACGTGTCTGTCATTGAATAGACTGTGCTCCGGGAGGCCATGAGCTCTCTGCAACGAGCAGCAGTCACGTCGTCTCGTCGCATTCTCTCACTGCTGCTGCACCTGCTTAAGCTCCCAGATGCCCTTCAGGAGGTATGCACACACATACACATACACGTACACACTCATACACACACGCACTTCAACACGGAATCACTATGATCCCTTGTCCCTTCACACAATTGTTCTCTCACTGCTGCTGCACCTGCTCAAGCTGCCAGATGCCCTTCAAACGGTAAGCGTGCACACCACGTGCACATGCTCACACACACACACACACACACGCGCGCGCGCGCGCGCGCGCGCGCGCGCACGCATGCATGCCCGCACGCCCGCACGCACTCTACTGCCTTTCTTCATCAGCAGCTAAGGCATCGCTTGTAAATATGCACCTGCACACATATGGTTGTGCCCCCATGCGTGCGCCTGCACACATATGGTTGTGCCCCCATGCGTGCGCCTGCACACATATGGTTGTGCCCCCATGCGTGCACCTGCACACATATGGTTGTGCCCCCATGCGTGCGCCTGCACACATATGGTTGTGCCCCCATGCGTGCGCCTGCACACATATGGTTGTGCCCCCATGCGTGCGCCTGCACACATATGGTTGTGCCCCCATGCGTGCGCCTGCACACATATGGTTGTGCCCCCATGCGTGCGCATGCACACATATGGTTGTGCCCCCATGCGTGCGCCTGCAAATTACTTACAATCCTCGAATGTGCATCCTCCCTCCTGTGTGGTCACGTTTGTTCATGCTCGTCTATGCATAATGCTTTCTGCACTTATCTCTGCATGTGTGGCCCCACAGGCGCGCCAGGAGTCAGTGGTGAACGGCTGTCAGTTCCTCCGCCCACCCATTCCTGTCTCACACATGTCTTGCAAGTGTCTCTGCACTTGCCTCTGCACTTGTCTCTGCGTGTGTTTCTGCACCTGTGTGGCCCCACAGGCACGCCAGGAGTCAGTAGTGAATGGCTGCCAGTTCTTCCGCCCAGGGGTCTTCGATCTCCTCCTTGCCAAGGTAACCCCCCACCCACCCTTTCACACCATCAACCATTCCAGCTATACTGAACCCACTTTGTAGAAATTCCTCAAGTTCTTCCGCCCAGGCGCCTTTGACCTCCTCCTCGCCAAGGTGGGCCGCCTGACCTCCTCACTAGATTGTCAATTACGTGCCTGTATTGCGCTGTCACCGAGGTTCCTTCTTGAAGCGCTGTGCCCTCCTTCATGGTCGCCTTCAGCACCATCTCCCAACCGGCCCCCATTCCACTGAACCTCCGACCCCCCAGCAAGTGTCTCCGTGAAGCGCTACGCCCTCTTAGAGTCCCTGCTGGCCACGACCGCCGTCAGCACCATGTCGTGCCGCGTACCCCCCATCCGCTTACCCCCCCTCTTCCCCCACCTCCCCCACACCAGCAAGTCTCGCCCCAAAAGCGCTACGCGCCCCTCAAGTTCCTGTTGGTCACAGCGACCTTCAGCACCATCTCTCAACTCCTCTCTTTTCTTAACCCTCCCCCCCAACACACCAGCAAGTGTCCCCCCTGAAGTGCAACGTGATCCTGAAATTCCTGTGCAGCGCTCAGGTCGGATGCAGGAAGAGACCTCGTTCCCCTTCACCCGCTTCCTTTCAACCCCTCTTTTTCCTCCCAACCCCCCACCTTTTGACCCCTCTCCCCCCACCACCCGCACCAGCAAGTGTCCCCTCTAAAACACTACGCCCTGCTGAAATTCCTGCTGGCAACGGCGGCCTTCGGTACCATGTCACGCCTCTCACTCTCTTCCCCTTTACCCCTGTCTCCCATCTCCCCCCCACCAGCACGTTTCCCCACTAAAGCGCTACGCCCTGCTCAAATTCCTCCTGGCAGCGGCCGCCTTCAGCACCATGTCGTGCCTCTCACCCTCTTCCCCTTCCCCCTTTCTCCCATCTCCCCCCCACCAGCAAGTTTCCCCTCTAAAACGCTACGCCCTGCTGAAATTCCTCCTGGCAACAGCAGCCTTCAGCACCATGTCGCGCTTCTTACCCCCCATCCCCTTCCTTTTTTTCAACCACTCCCCACCTCTCTCAATCCCCCAACAGCAAGTCTCCCCCCTGAAGCGCTACGCGCTGCTCAAGTTCCTTCTCGCCACAGCCGCCTTCAGCACCATGTCGCGGCGCCACATCGCGGTGAGGCGGGCAGACCTGAGCGCCGTGCTGCAGTGGCTGCAGGAGGAGACCGCCAACGCGCCCGGGCACGATCTGTCCAATGAGGAGCTGCCATCTGGCACGCTGCGCCGCACTGCCACTGTGGACTCGACCATTGCCACTGGGCTGAGTCTCATCAGCCTGCCACATGAACCCAATGCATGAATCTTATCATCAGCATGCTTGTAACGTGGTAACCGCACGCTGCACTGCTACTGTGGACTCGACCATCGCCACGGGGCTGAGTCTCATCAGCCTGCCACACAAGGCATCCGCCTGAGTGAGCTGCTGGTAACGGAGTAATGTAACACCATGGGACCATGATGCCTGATGTGACCTGGTGTCCTGATAATGGGCTGCTGGTTGCAAGTGAAGGGAGCTACCCCTGAACTGCACTGATGGGCAGGAGCGAGCTTGTGGTGCTGCTTGTCTGCACATTTGCAGGAAGCGGTGTTTTCCTGGGCACAGATTCTTCTGCAGCTGCACTTTCCCGGCCTTCCAAAGTTTCTCTGAGCACTGCATTGCATATCAACTTTGTAGGAGGAATAGTGCTGGTGGACTGTGGTACAGCACACTTGTCTGAATGGTAATGGCGTATTCATTGTTCATATTGTTAGGCTGCTGCTGAACTGAAGTTGCTGCCGAGTGTACCATCCAGGCGTGCTGCCTTTAAGAGTTGCTATGCATGTAGTATGAATTTAGGGATATAGAGCAATGGTATCCCCACGCAATTATCCAAATTTTCATCGATTCCTAACCGTGCTGTTCACTTGCAAAAGCTGACAATGACAATCTTACCTCTAGTTCTCTCACTGCAGCTAGCAAGTGTTCTTGCAAATGATCGTGAATACAAAAACGCCTGATTGTACGCAACACTTCTGCATTCGGCGGAATCTAGTAACGCAATGCTCTAAGTATGCCCAGGCGAACTCTCTCTCGTAGCCATAACTGGTTACTCCGTTTTCGCCTTTCCAACAAATCCTCACCTCACCTCACCCCACCCTCACGTCCCCTTGCTCACTTCGGCGAAAGTCGACGTGTGACTGTTACGCCCAAAGAACGAAATAATCGGAAATGGAGGCCTTCGCAATACCGCCATCATCCAGGCTTGCTCAGCCACAGCAGGCCAACGAACCACCCCGTAGCTTGTAAAACTGTTTTCTCAGCCACCTTTCCCCGCACGTTACGTCACCATAGTTGCCACCTGGCCACATTGTTCCCCGTTTGAAACTTAGGAATCGCGAAGCCGTCATGCGAGTGGTTTCGCGCGACGCGCTTTTGCGACCGGCCACCAACCCTGCTCTCCCCCCACTTTCTCAGAAGCCTATACCGAATCCGTCCTTATCGAATCCATCCCTGCAAGGCCCGTTATTCGTTCTCGCGTGCGTCGTCCTCGTCGCACTCTCCCTGCAGCTCCTCTCGCCCCCTCGGGAATATCCCAACGGTCATCTTTATGGCGGCGCGGCTGGCAGCGGCGGCCCGTTCGGCAGCAGCGGCGCGGTGCGCAACATTCCGTCGCCGCCGGACGATAAGGACTTCAGAGCGTTTATAGCGGACGTGTTGACAACGTGTTTATGCTCGTGAATACAAAAACGCCTGATTGTACGCAACACTTCTGCATTCGGCGGAATCTAGTAACGCAATGCTCTAAGTATGCCCAGGGTTACTGCCAAGGTGACTGCCACGTGGCGCTCTGCGCGATTCTGTTTCCAGGCTTTCCCTTGTTGAAAGTGCACGCCTTCCCACCTCTTCCCACCCCTTCCTACCCTTTCCAACCTCGGTGAAAGTACACTTTTAGTAAGGGAAGTGCTTTAAGGGGGGGCACTGGGAGCCTCGATTTCCTAAGGGGTGCCAAGGACAAGGTTCCCATCGTTTTCTCCCATCTCTTTTGAGAATTATCAAAAGTGATATCAATATGGCTCCAAGGAAATGATTCCCGTTGCTCCCTCTCACTCATCTCTTTCAAGGATTCTCAATATTCCCACCCTGACTTCAATCGTTCTCGCAACTCGACGCCGTGCAGCCACTCAAGCTAGACATGAATGTTGCAGAGCCAGTTGTCCATCCATCCTCGTTCCCCAATTCCAGGCTCAAACAGATCGTTCCAATGCCCCAATTCTCTCCTTTTCTTGTCCTCAGATGAACCTCAGACGTCACCTCTCACAGCTAGGCGTCATGCAGCCGCCCAAGCTGGACATGCTGCACAGCCAGCTGTCCCATCCTCGTGCCCTTCCTGTCCTCTGCTCTACGCTCAAACCCACCACTCCTGTCCCACTCTTCCCGTTTCGCGCCCTCAGATGAACCTCCGCCGTCGCCTCTCACAGCTGAAGGTCATGCAGCCGCCCAGTCTGGACATGCTGCAGAGCCAGCTGTCCATTCTCGTGCCCACCTTCCCCTGCCCCAAGGAGGAACGCGTGGGCGTGTGGGCGGACGGTCGAAAGGTGAGGAAGGTGGCGGTAACGGAAGGACAGATGGAGTGAGGAGCGTTCGCTGCTCCTGTTTCCTCAGCCTCCCATCCTCGTGCACATCTTCCCCTGCCCCAAGGAGGAGCGCGTGAGGGTGTGGGCCGACGGTCAGAAGGGTGAGGGGAGGGAGGTAAGGGGTGGGGGGGGTGGGCAGGTGGCAGGTGGTGTGGGCAGGTGGCAGGTGGTGTGGGCAGGTGGCAGGTGGTGTGGACAGGTGGCAGGAGCAAGGCATGGCATGCAGAGGGCTGGGTGGAGGCGCATGTTGAAGCTGGGCTCAGGAGGAGCGCGTGGGAGTGTGGACAGATGGTCGAAAGTTGAGGGGGAAGTGGGTGCATGGGCCCTGGGGAGAGTGGAGGAGGGTTAGCGCATCCCTGCACTTGGTCTCTCCCATCCATATCCCCTTCCCTCCCACACTTTTTTTTTCCCTTCCCCACCTTCTCTTTCCTTTATCACCTTCTCTTCCCTTCCCCATCTTCTCTTCCCTTCCCCACCTTCACATCTCTTTGCCACCTTCTCTTCCCGTCCACGCCCATTCTTCTCTTCCCTCCACCATCCCTCAGTGGCTGTGCAACATGAAGACCTTTTTGCCAGATAACCCCATAGTGTACAGGTGAGTAAAGGGTGTGCGGCGTGCTTGCTTGAATGACGTGATGATAAGTAACGGCTGTGCAGCTTGCTTGTTTGAAAGACATCTTGAACGTCTTTACCCCAGACCAGATAATCAAGTACCGTAGTGAGGTGTATGTTTGTTTCTCAGACGCAGTTGAGGCTAAACACTTGTTATGAGGCGCCTTTTAACGAGGCCAAAAGTGTGCAGGTGAGTAAGGTGAGGTATATGCGTGTCAGACTAAACCCTCGTATTTACAAGTTACAAGTTATCGAGATCCGCTTCCTCTCCCTCCCCCTCCACGCCCTCCCAGCATAGGGTCAGGTGGGGAATATTCCTTCGAGAAGGACATATTCGTCAAGTTCCCTCTCACGCGCCCCATTCCTCGCCCCATTCCTCGCCCCCTTCCTCGCCCCCTTCCTCGCCCCCTTCCTCGCCCCGTTCCTCGCCCCGTTCCTCGCCCCGTTCCTCGCCCCGTTCCTCGCCCCGTTCCTCGCCCCGTTCCTCGCCCCGTTCCTCGCCCCGTTCCTCGCCCCGTTCCTCGCCCCGTTCCTCGCCCCGTTCCTCGCCCCGTTCCTCGCCCCGTTCCTCGCCCCGTTCCTCGCCCCCTTCCTCGCCCCCTTCCTCGCCCCCTTCCTCGCCCCGTTCCTCGCCCCGTTCCTCGCCCGTTCCTCGCCCCGTTCCTCGCCCCGTTCCTCGCCCCATTCCTCGATCCGTCCCTCGCCTCCTCCCTGCAAGCCCTCTCCTTCCTCCGCTTCCTCAAGCTTCACGGCTCACACGCCTGCTCACTCTCAACCCCTCCCTCTCCCCCTCCCCTCGCCGCTTCCCCCTCCTCCCAGCATAGGGTCAGGAGGCGAGTACTCATTCGAAAAAGACATGTTCTTCAAGTTCCCCCTCACGCGCCCGCTCACCTTCGACCCATTCCTCGACCCCTCTCTCTCCTCCTCCATGCAAGCCCTCTCCTTCCTCCGCCTCCTCCCCATCGGGCTCGCCGGGGCCGGGGTGATCGAGAGAGCGAGAGTGGACCGACCGGGAGTGCAGTTTATGACTGTGGGGGAGGTCATGGGTGCGAATAATCACTCCTATGTGGATGTTCTAAAGGTGGATTGCGATGGGTGTGAGGAGGGGTTGGTTTATGATATTAAGCCAGGAAGGAGGGAGGGTGGGGGGGAAGGGGTGGGGGATGGAAGTGGAGGAGGAGGGAGAGGAGAAGGGGGAGGAGGAGGGGAAGGGAGGGAGGAGGAGGTGTTGGAGGAGTTTAGCCGAGTGAAGCCGTTTGGGGACCCGGCGATTGGTCAGATACTCATTGACTTGCACCAGTGAGTGGGAGTGGGTGGGTGGGTGGATTGCTGGTGGGTGGGCGAGGGAGAGTGGTGATATACGTATCAGAAGCTGCTATTGGTCAGATACTCACTTACTTGCAACAATGAGTGGGAGTGGGTGGTAGTTGCTAAGAATCCAAAAAAAAGCCTGCGCAATGAGGGAACGGGTGGGTGGAGGAAAGATACCAATTTGGCATCACGCTGCCCATTGTTCTACCATCTTGAGAGTGTGGGTTACCTGCTCTTTCATCTGCGGCCCAATCCCCATGCCCCATGTGTGTGAAAAGGATTCCTTCATGCCCCTGATTCTGACCCCCTTCCCGCTCGTGTTATCTCCCAGCGTCAACAACCCTGGCATCACCCTGCCCATGGTATACCACCTGGAGAGCGTGGGTTATCTGCTGTACCACGTGGAGCCCAACGCCCAGCACCCCGGCTGCTGCATTGAGCTGGCCTTCATTCACCAGTCGCTGCTGCAGCCCTGGGGCACGTCGCGCAGCGACTTTGAAAGATGGAAGAAAGCAAGGGGGAAATGACATACTTATTATTGGGCTCTTCACGTGTGGCTGCTGCTGTTGTTGCTGCTGTTCCGCTGTTTGGCTGGCTGTGTTGAGCCTGCCTTCATTCAGCAGGCGCTGCTGCAGCCCTGGGGCACGTCGTTCAAAGACTATCAGAGGTGGAGGAGAGCAAGGGGCAAGTGAAGCGTTATCAAAAGAGTTCATCGTAGCAAGTAGCCTCTCCCAACCAACGCTCAGCACCCCGACTGCTGTGTTGAGCTGGCATTCATTCATCTGGCGCTGCTGCAGCCCTGGGGCACTTCGTACAGTGACTTTCAACGATGTAAGAAAGAAAGGAAATGACATACTTACTATTGTCAGAATATAATTACATGCATTATATTATAACTGCCTGTAGTGTAGACTTAATGTAGTTCTAAACTTGTTTGGTGGTGCACCTCTCTTTTCCTTGCATATATATTTCCAACTTTCTATAGTGAAACCCCCTTCCTTTCTACTCTCGATAGTTGCCTAGCACCCAAACCCTAGGCACTACTAAGCTTATCTTAACATGGTATTAAGAGCCGGTCGTTCCTAGACCAATTCCCTCATGGGCCCACCGCATGTTCCTCCTCTCACAGCGCATGTTCAGCACCCCCGTCACGGCCGTACTATCGACGGTCGCAACGGTCATGGCGGCGAGTTGGTCGCGCCCCCCCGTCGCAGCCCGTCCGTCCCGCGCTGCCCCAGCCCGTCCCGTCCCTGTCCAGCGGCACGCAGTGCGCATAGCCGCACGCACGCAGCCGCGAGCGCGCATCTGCACGCACGTCACCAGCCGCCGCGCGCGCGACTGCTGCGAAATGCACAGCAGCAGCCGCACGCACGACTGCAGCGTCACGTGCAGCTGCAGACACACGACGCAACTGCAGCCGCCTGCTGCTCCGCCCCTCCCCATTTACCCCCCTTCTCACTGCTGCTGGTGCACCAAAGGGGGGGAGGGGGGGGAGGGAGGGGAAGATTTGTCGGTGGGACGACGCTCGTGGCGGTCGTCGCGGCCCTTTCCCTCCCCCCGGTCCCGTTTTCTTCCCCTCCGTCGCCTTTCCTGCCCGCGCCTGCTTCTGCAGTGCGGGGAGGTGGCGGGTGGGGGGGAGGTGGCAGGGGAGTGGAGCCCGTGCCCTGCCCATGCCTCTGCCAGTACCAGCGCCTGTGGGGGGTAGGGTGATGGGGGTGGCGGATAGTGGAGGGTGAGGGGGTGGCAGGAGGGGTTCTGCAGCGCCAGCCGCCCACCTCCTCCTCCTCTCTCTCCCTGCCGCCTGTTGTTGTGTTGGGAGGGGGGGGGGGGATGAGCTTGGAGGTTAAGGCGGTGGCAGGAGGGGATCTGCAGCACCACACGCCTCGTCCCCCCCCTCTCTCTCCTCTCCGTTTCCAGCCACCCCTGCCCTGAGCCGCCCCTACCTTGTGCCTGCCCTGACTACCCTGTCTCTCTTTGCAACTTCTGCTGCTGTGGGGGGGAGGTTTGGGGAGGGGGGGGGGAGCTTGAAGGGGGGTGGCCGCTGTGAAGCCAGCAGCTCCAGTCGCCCGTGAGCCCGTTGCTCCAGTCGCTCGTGAGCCCGTTGCTCCAGTTGCTCGTGAGTCAGTTGCTCCAGCCGCTCGTCTAGCCGCAGAGCTAGTTACTCCAGTTGCCTGTGTGTCAGTTGCTCCAGTTGCCCATGTGCCAGCAGCTTCAGCAGCCGCCCACCACCTCCTCTCCGCTCATGGTCCCTCCTCCTCACTTGCCCTCTCCTTCTTCCGCTGCACCTGGTGTACCCCTTCAGGGGGTGTTCTGCACATGGTTCTTCACTGCAGGCAGTTAGGGGGTGTGTCGGAATATAATTACATGCATTATATTATAACTGCCTGTAGTGTAGACTTAATGTAGTTCTAAACTTGTTTGGTGGTGCACCTCTCTTTTCCTTGCATATATGTTTCCAACTTTCTATAGTGAAACCCCCTTCCTTTCTACTCTCGATAGTTGCCTAGCACCCAAACCCTAGGCACTACTAAGCTTATCTTAACAACAATTACCAATATCGGGCTTTTCAAGTGTGGCTGCTGCTGCTGCTATTCCTCTGTTTGGCTGGCTGTGTTGAGCTGGCCTTTATCCACCAGACGATGCTGCAGCTCTGGGCGGGCATATCGTTCAGGGACTGAATACACATTCACCATCAGTAATACGTGGGACATTGGGGCAGTCCGTATTGTCAAAGTCAATACAGCGGGCAACAGTTGGATACAAGTAGGAAACTCTAATTGGGTTATCCCCTTTAATGTGAACCTCACTATAGCCTACAAGCTAACAAACATATAGTTTGACACACCCCCATAGGCAAAGAGGGGTTTAGGAAACACAACCAACGGTCACAAGACCAGTCAAGCAAGAGAACAAAGCAAAGCAATGCTCAGAGTGGATCTCAAGATCACCACGCATTCAAAGCACAAGCAAGCGGCCACAAGGCCAGTTCACATGCAGAGTTTATAATAGTAATTGCAGTACACTGATCACAACCTAGCAAGTGCAAACATGCAGGTATAATCATATATATCAGAGTACAACAAGTGCAAGGCAAGATCAAGAAACAAGCAGGTGAGGCAGAGTGGGCACAAACCCAAGAGCAGTGCAGAAACGCTAATGATCACCAGACCCAAGGGCCTTGGCACGAAGCTGACCACGCTGCTGCACCTCTCGCGTGAGGAAGTAACGGAGAGCAATGTGCTTCGTTCTGTGCTCCAGTCTCTGGTCCTAACACAAGGCAAACATGGTCTTATTGTCGACGTACAGAACTGGAGGTGAACGAGGCTGCTCACCCAAGTCGGTCAGCAGGTAGGTCAGCCAGCGGAGCTCCTGTGTAGCCGTAGCCCCAGTGTAGATCTCGGCCTCACAGCTGGAACTAAGTACAGAAGACGAGCGAGTGGACCTCCGCGAGACAGAACCAGTGCTGAGGCTGAAACTGTAACTCTGTGTCGACCGGTGAGTCGTCTGGTCGTCAACCCAAGAAGCGTCTGAGTGACCGGTGAGAACAGCTGAACCCTGTCTTCCAAGCACAAGCCCCATGCTCGATGTACTACACAAGTAATGCAGTACCCTCTTTGCAGCTTCCCAGTGCACCTTTCGGTGTCTACCAGGAGGAGCCACGTAGCGAGCCAGACGGCTGAGAGGGTACGCGAGGTCAGGTCGTGTGCACGTCATCAGGTACATGAGGCAACCTACAAGCTTTGGATACGGACCACTCAGCTCTACGAACTCGTCCGAAGGTGGAGCTGAGAGCAAGTGGCCTGTAGGCAGAGGAGTGGGCTGTGGCGAGGAGAACTCAAAGCCAAAGCGTTGAAGGACCTGGTGCACCATGTGTGACTGACTTAGGGTGATGGTGCACCGTGCTCTGTCCCGGGTGATCTACAAGCCTAGATAGCTCTGCAGCTCACCCAGGTCAGTGCAAGTGTGTCTCTCCTGCAGCTCCGCCTTCACTAGGGCCAGTGCCTCAGTGTCAGCAGTAGCAGAAACCAAGTCGTCGACGTACACAAGAACGTAGAACGGCGGCAGAGAAGTGTCCGTACGCAGAAACAGTGAAGGGTCAGCAGTCGAGGGAGCGAAACCAAGAGCCGCAAGTGTAGTCCTCAGTGTGTCGTACCACTCACAGGGCGCCTAATGTAGACCGTGGACTGGTCGCTGGAGACTCCACTGCGTACCCTCAGGAAACGACCCAGTGAAGCCAGATGGGCGGCGCAACCAGATAGCCTCGTGAAGGCTGCCCTGCAAGAAAGCTTTGGAGAAGTCGAGGGAGTGCAGCTCGTAATCACGTTGTGTTGCAACATGCAGTAGCACCCAAAGAGTGGTCATCTTCGAGGTCGGGGAGAAGGTCTGGAAGAAGTCGACCCTCTCACGCTGGCTGAAGCCTCATGCAACGTAACGCACCTTGAAGGCAGGCGGAGAACCCGGTGGCCGCTTCACCCTGAAAATCCACATGCCGTCGACTATGTTCGCCCCAGGTGGGGGAACCTCGTCGACGTAGGTGCCTGTGGACTTCCAGGAAGCCATCTCTGCGTCCATGGCTATCTGCCACTGAGAGGAGTACGGACCCATGATCACGTCTGCGTAAGAACGCGGGGTCGGGATGTCAAGTGCATCCGGGTCTCCCTCAAGGCAAAGTAGCATGGACGCGAGATGAGGTGCAGTGGCCACTAGGCACTCCAGCTCAAAATGCCTGTCCTCAAGAACGTCACAGTCAAGGGCAAGCTCAACCCTGACGGATGGAGGACAGGAAGAGTCAAAAACAAGACTCGCAGCGTAGTCAAGGCGGCAAAGCAGCAAAGTCAACAAGCTCAGTAACTAAGGCAGACACCGCAGTAGACTCAAAGGAAGGGGCAGTCCCAACCATAGCAAGAAGACGAGTGACAGTCGGACTGATAGCACGAACACGGTCAGACTCAGGGTCAGGAACATGAGGAAGAGAGGACGCAGGAGGCGACAGCAGGACAACACGCTGTGGAACAGAGGAAGGACGAAGTGCCATGGTGTGCGTGCCTGGGACAGTTGGAGGACGAGGACGGGCAACACGGCGAGTACGGACAGGCGTGACAGGATGCGAGGCAGGCTCTCTAATCTCAGTGAGGGACTCTTTCACCGCAGCGTAAGGAGCAGGAGCACGTAGTGGGGAGTGAGGCAGTAGCTGTGGCTGAGACTGGTCAGGCGGTGGAAACAGTAATGGAGGAGTAGTGCCAGCAACATGGAACTCAGTAGCAGCAGGCGGGAGACTGAGAAGGTGACGAAGCGCAGATGGCTGCGGCTGAGTAGTCGCACCCCCAGAATCTTCAACTCCAGTAGCAACAGCACCCCCATAACCAATACCTCCAGCTCCACCACCGGGACTGCCCCAACGGACAGCCCACTCGTGAAGCTGCTGCGGTGAGAGTGACTCCTGCCGACTCGCACCACCAACTCCAGTACCTCCAGTAGCGCCTCCAGTGTCAGCACCTCCAGTACCTCCAACTCCATGAACATCAGCACTACCACCTCCAGGACCAGTACCTCCAGCTCCAGTACTTCGAGCTCCGCCACCGGGGCAGCCCCACCGGACAGCCCACTCTTGAAGCCGCTCCGGCGAGAGAGGCTCCTGACGGCGAGAACCAGTACCACCCGCAACAGCACCCACACCACCAGGACCTCTAGCACCTCCAGCAGCACCAGTGCCTCCAGCACCGGTACCTCCAGCACGACCAACTCCAGGAATACCAGCACTAGCACCTCCAGGTCCAGTACCTCCAGGACTCCCTGCTCCAGCATGTCCAGCGCCGCCACCGGGGCTGCCCCACCGGACAGCCCACTCGCGAAGCCACTCCGGCGAGAGAGTCTCCTGCCGACGTGCACCAGAGCCACCATCACCAACACCACCAGCACCTCCAACCGCAGCACCCCCAGCAGCTCCTGTACCCGTAGGACACTCAGCACCCCCAGAGCTAGCAGCTCCAAAGTCCGCACCCCCAGTGTCACCACCTCCAGCAGCACCAGAGTCCGCAGCGACGGGCTGCAGAGGCGGTGAAGACGGTCGAGGCGGAAAACCAGGAGGGACCGCCAGGCGCGCGGAGCGGCGAGGGGCCACGGTGTCGGCAGCTGTCGGGTCACCCCCCTCAGCTGGGCCAGAGGTGTCAGAGGAGACCTCCAAAGGCTCAACCAAGGGGGGTGGGTCTACTTGAGACACACCTGAGGGAGCAGGACCGGGAGGAGGGAGGGGGGCTACCGGGGGGGGGGGGGGGGGTCGACAACCAAGGAGAGCGGCGGGAGAGGCACGGGGGAACTGCGGTGGGGGTGAAGACGGTAGAAGCAGACTGACTCATCAAAAGTGACTTCGCGGGAGGACAACAGACGACGAGAGCCCGGGTGGTAAAACTGCCAGGGCAGTGCGTCGGTGGGAAAGCCAAGGAACACGCACTGAAGAGTGCACGGAGAGAGCTTGCTCGCAAGCAGATGGCGGACAAGAGAGGGGGATCCCCAGACCCGAAACTCCGACACATCGCCAACCTCGCCCATCCAACGCAGTGTAGGCGAGGTCTCTGGCACGGAGACGCGGGGCCAGAGGTTGAGTTGCGCGGCGTATCGGACCACAAACGGCCACAGAAAATGGGGAGTAGCCGCATGGATCATGGAGGTGCGAGCAACCTCCATGACCAAGCCGATGCGGTGCTCTGCAATCCCATTATGTTGTGGAGAGGCCGGAAGCGTGAACGACTGGTGGATGCCCTCAACACCACAGAAGTCCTTGAGAAGGTAGGAGGAAAACTCACCACCTCGGTCAGAGTGCAGCCGCAGGACCGGAAGGTCCTGCCGGAACTGAGCGCTAAGCTCGAGACGGACTGCGCGGATCCAGCGGATCAAGACACTACGGACCTCCACCTTGCCCTGCAAGGGGAAGACCGTGGTGTAGCGCGTGTAGTCCTCAACAACGAGCAGAAAGTAGCGCTCGCCACCCTGTCCAGTGACGCGAGCGGGGCCCCACACGTCCATGTGGAGGGTCTGCAGAGGAGCAGTGGTAGGAGGAAACGAGGAGTGAGGAGCGGCGCGCTACCGCCCCTCGACGCAGGGAAGGAAGGGCGGTGCAAGCGACCTCGGAAGTGGGGGCAGGGACCTGGGGAGACCAGACACAAGGAGACGGGAGTGCATGCCACGCAGGCGTTGCAAGGACGGGTGGCCAAGATGGTGGTGCCAGAGGAGAGTCTGGTGCATGAGGAGACGACACGAACAAGACGCAGCGACCTCAACCGACGCAGCTACCTGACATGACTCGGCCACCAGTACAGACTCATTAGTCAGTGTGTACAGACCAGACCCAGGCCTCCGAGTGAACGTGGCGAGGTGCTCGCCAGTGCGTGAGTCTGTACAGATCGCCACAAGCTCTTCTCCAAGCTGGGTGATAGTGACCCACTGGTCCTGGAGGACAGAGGTAGCCACCAAGTTCTTAGCGAACAAGGGGAGGTGGAGACCTGTGAGGATGTCGGAAGGGGCCGCCGGACACGGGAGAACAGTAGCGCCACGCACGACTACCGGGCCACCGGAGGGGTCGGCCAGTGTGACAGGGACAGGGGCTATGAGCGGTGTGACTGTGGTGCTGTCGCGGAAGAAACAGCGAGACGCGCCTGAGTCTAGGGTAAAAGTGTGCAAGGCATCCTCAGGCTCTGCCCCTGCGCTAGCTAAGTCAAAAGCACCAAGACTAGCAGCCTCTACGCCACCAGGTGCCTCTACACCCCAAGTACGAGTACCCCAAAACCCTCCACCACCGGGGCTGCCCCACCGGACAGCCCACTCACGAAGCTGCTGCGGGGAGAGAGTCTGCGGCGGACACTGCTGCTGCTGCTGTCCACCCCCAGAACCTCCGCGTCTACCAGCGGCACTACCAGTAGGAGTAGACTCACAGGTACCTCCAGTAGTAGCACCCCAGGCTCCGCCACCGGGGCTGCCCCACCGGACAGCCCTCTTGCGAAGCTAGTGCAACGAGAGTGTCTCCTGCCGACGAGGATGAGGATCGCCAGCACTAGCACCTCCAGCTCTAGCACGGCTAGCTCCGCCACCGGGGCTGGCCCACCAGATAGCCCACTCGCGAAGCTGCTCTGGCAAGAGAGACTCCTGCACACTCGGCTGCCGCTGACGTAGGACAGTGGTAGTGGCCATGGCAGGCAGTGGTAGCTAGTAGCAGCAGCAGCGCAACAACAGTAGCACATGCGGCAGTAGCAGCTTAGCAGCACTCGGGGCAAGGCGGCGCTAGCGTGGGACAGGGCAGCACGGGGCAGCGCACGCGGGTGGCAGCAGCACCTAGGGCGGCAGCAGCAGGCGGCAGCACCTAGGGGGACAGCACCTAGGGCAGCAGCAGGCGGCAGCACCTAGGGCGGCAGCAGTAGCACCTAGGGCGGCAGGAGGAGGCGGTAGCACCTAGGGCGGCAGCAGCAGGCGACAGCACCTAGGGCAGCAGCAGGCAGTAGCTCCTAGGGAAGCAGCACCTAGGGCGGCAGCAGCAGGCAGCACTTGCGCGCGGGCAGGGCAGGGCAGGTGCGCGTGCAAGGCAGCAGCGCGGGGCAGGGTGCACGCACGCGGGCAATGCGCTTACGGGGTAGGGCACGGGTCGTTGGGCAGCAGGGCGCGCTGGGCGCTGGGCAGCAGGGCGCGCTGGCGCGCTGGGCAGCAGGGCGCGCTGGCGCGCTGGGAAGCGGGGCGTGCTGGCGCGCTGGGCAGCGGGGCGCGCTGGCGCGCTGGGCAGCGGGGCGTGCTGGTGCGGTGGGCAGCAGGGCGCGCTGGCGCGCTGGGCAGCAGAGTGTACTGGCGCGCGGGGCAGCAGGGCGTGCGGGGCACGCGGGGCAGGTCAACGCGATAGCGCTGGGCAGGGCAGGGCACGCGCGTGGCGAGCAGGGCAGCGCGGGCAGCAGGGCAGCACGCGCGGCAGCAGGGCAGCGCGCGGCGGGGCAGTGCGAGCAGCAGTGCAGCACGCGCAGCAGCAGGGCAGCGCGGAGCAGCGCGACCGCGCGGGGCAGGGCAGGGCAGGTAACGCGCACGGCGAGCAGGGCAGCGCGCGACGGCAGCAGCTCCTGTGGCAAGAGTGACGGTGGGCCCTAAAAAAAACGGTCCTAGGTCAGGACCTGCTTTGACACCATGTCAAAGTCAATACTGCGGAATGAATGAACTAGGCAACAGTTGGATACAAGTAGGAAACCCTAATTGGGTTATCCCCTCTAGTGTGAACCTCAAGGTAGCCTACAAGCTAACAAACATATAGTTTGACACGTATGAGCCTTCTCAACCTTAGGGCCTAAATAGATCGAGCATGTGCTCCATCCTTCACGTGCAGATACAACTTCTTTCTATCATCCGGCAACTTATGGCTCGTCTTGTAGGTGGCAGGGACTATTGAGTGATGCATTTTGTTGGTTGCACGTTGTAGGAACTCACTACAGAGAACTCGCGCTCCTTGCTACAATCGAAGCATTACTACGCCGAACATCAGGCGGCAATCTCGAGGCTGTGTGTGAATGCATGTGCATGCAGATTCGCACGAACAAGCCGGATTTCATCAGTCTGTCACTCCCACCTCACAGCAACTCAATTCTAAATCCTGACAGCCACCAGTGATGCAGCCTGGGCTTGGCCATTCAACGGCGGCCGTCGATTCTCGCGTTGCAGCGTCTTCGCGTAACGGCGTTCGAGTTGACTGAATATTTAGTGTAGCGCGTCCTGCCATGAGCTTTAAAGCTCGATCGTCGCCGCGCGTAGGCTCGCGTAGCCCTCCTTCCACCTCCTCGCTCTCGCCTAGATCCGCGTCGACGATTAAAGACGTCGTTACTCGCGTCGCGTCATCCTCTCGCTATAATCTCAGGGCTGACGTCATGTGGTCATGGTGGAAGGACGTTCGGCTTCGCACCCTCGTTTTAGTCAACATCGCCGCGATTGTAGAGAGGGCGGACGAGGCGCTTCTTCCTGCTGTTTATAACGAGGTGTGCGTAATGCGAAATCTTATACACGGATAGAAAAGCATTTTTCGAAAATCGACTCCAATTTCGACTCGAAAATTTACTCAAAAGTCGACCGTCGACCAAAAATTCGGCGAACACACCCACGCGCCGCCTCCCGCTTCACGTGTGTCAGGCATTCCGCGCTCCTCTGCCATTTTCACTTCCCGCAGTTATCATTTTTTCCCTGCAAAGTTCCAACCCCCCTTCGTCAAAAGACGTACTTCTTTTGCAGGATTCAGGTTAGAACAAGCGTTTTGCGCCTTTTCCTTGGCGGTGCGTTAGGCCCCCAGACGAGACGTACCTGGTATCAAAGGCGTGAAGCGCGCCCCTAATGGTTGTCCTCCGTCAGGCGCGAAGCCTCACAAGCTTTTTGCTCCGCAGGCTCACTCATTCTCTGCACATTCCTCCACCCCAACCTTTTCCGGTCCCTCCGCCTTTTCCCCCCATCTCACTCCCCCGCTCCCCTGGTCAGGTGGGGCAGGCCTTTCACGCGTCCCCGCAGGCCCTGGGCACTCTCACGCTCGTGCGCGCGCTCGTGCAGGTGGGGAGCTGGGGGCGTGCGGGGGGGGGATGGGAGGGGGAGTGGGGAAGAGGGGGAGTGCTGTTAGAGGCGTCTAAAACTCGCTCTCTCACTCTCGTGCAGGTGCAGGCCTGGGGGCGGGGAAGGGGGGGGGGGGGGGGGAAGAGGGATCGGTTGCATGTGGGGAATGGGGGGAAATTGGGTTGGTGGGGGAAAGGAGGGGGGGAGGGAGAGATTACAGGCCGTCACAACCCCTCTAGACCCCTGGCCGGCCTGGCTTCATTTGCTGTGAACCGACTTGAAGCCCACCCTCACACAGCTCCTTCCAACCTCTCCCATGCCCACCACCGCCACGCCTTCACGTGTCCTCCTCGCTTCATGGTTGGTGTACTGACTGCCTCGTGTGCTTCGAACGGCATTCACACTCACATGCTCCCCGTTCCCACAGTCGCTATCCTCCTTCTGAACTTTCTGTGCCCTCCGTGTCTTGCCCTCCGTGTCTTGCCCTCCGTGTCTTGCCCTCCGTGTCTTGCCCTCCGTGTCTTGCCCTCCATTCTGTGACCCCTGCCAGGCCTTAACCTGCCCGCTTGCCCCATGGCTGGCGCACTGGATGGCTCGAGTGAAAGTGATCGCAGTGGGTGCGTTCATATGGGCCATCGCCACTCTGGGCGTTGGGATCGCCACAAACTATTATGAGGTGAGGTGGAGTGGGGGAGTACATTGAAGCTGTTTCGAGGTGAATGGGTGGGGTGACTTGCGCCTTCTTGCATGCAAGTGTCCGTGTTTGAAAGTGATTGCAGTGGGTGCGTTCACTTCACATGGGCCATCGCCATCGCCACTCTGGGGGTCGGCATTGCCACCAACTACGAGGTAAGGAGCAGTGAGGGGAGGACTGAAAAGCTCGGTTCGAGTTTAATGGGTGGGGTGACTTGCGCTTGCCACTTGCAACTGCCCACCGCGTGCATGTGAGTGAGAGTAATTGCAGCAGGTGCGTTCATGTGGGCCATCACCACTCTGGGCGTTGGTATCACCACCAACTTCTATGAGGTTACCTTCTATGAGGTTACTCCTTACTACCTTATGGAATCACTCTGGATTATTCTCCAAAGGGACACCAGCTACCACGTGTGGCCCTAGCGTTCGGCTGGTTGCAGTTTCTCACCAACTCTAGGTTTGCTCTTCGTATGCGATCGCACTCCCTCTCCCACTCCCACCACCCACTTCCCTGCCCGCCCACCCTCTCTTTCTTCCTCCGCTCTGTCCCGGCGTGCTTTACCCCGCAGATGGCGGTATGGAGGGACCTGAACGGAGCCAGCCTAGCGCTGGTCATGTTGAAATCACTTGTGAGAATTCTCAAAAGTGATCTGAACGGAGCTGGCCTAGTGCTGGTCATCCCAGCCAGCCTGTCACTCACCACGTCACTAACTCCGCCAGCAACCTTCCTTGTGGCATGGCCTTGGCCTTGGCTGGCTACAGTTCGCCAAATCTGTTGCTGTTGCTACACCATCCTCATGGCTTCACACTTAAGATGCCCCACCCCCCTTCCCTCACCACCTCTCTCCCTCCTTCCTCCCTCTTCCCCACCCATCCACCAACCCCGCCTTGTCCCCTTCCCCCAGGTGGCGGCATGGAGGGGTTTGAATGGAGTCGGCCTGGCTCTCATCATCCCGGCCAGCCATCCAGTCGCTAGTCGCCGATTCAGTCAGCAACAGCACCAACTGTGGTTGAACCATACCCCTTCCCTCACTGTCTCTCTCTTTCGTCCGTCCTCCCTGCCCATTCAACTCCCCGCCAGGTGGCAGCATGGAGAGGTCTCAACGGGGTGGGCCTAGCCCTGGTCATCCCGGCCATCCAATCTCTCGTCGCCGACTCAGCCAGCAACAGCACGAGGGGCATGGCGTTCGGCTGGCTGCAGTTCGTCACCAACTTTGGCAACATCCTCGGCTTCACCCTCGGCATCTCCCTTGCCTGCTACACGTTTTTCGGCCTTGCTGGCTGGCGCATGGCCTTCATTATAGTCACAGTCGTCAGCCTGGGGCTGGCGGCTGTGCTCTGGCTGTTCGCGCACGACCCGGCTCCCACCACGGTCAAGTGCGTTTTAGGTCGACTATAATTCATTGTAACGCACACATCCTCGGATTCACCCTCGATATCTCCCTTGCCTGCTATGCATTCTTCGGCCTTGCTGGCTGGCGCATGGCGTTTATTATAGTCACGGTCGTCAGCGTGGCTCTGGCGGCTGTGCTCTGGCTGTTCACGCATGACCCGGCTCCCACCATGGTCAAGTGAGTTTTAAGTCGACAACATTCGATTGTACAACAATACATCCTCGGATTCACCCTCGATATCTCGCATCCCTGCTACTCCTTTTCCGGCCATGCTGGCCGGCAAATGGCGTTCATCATTGCCACGGTCGCCAGCGTGGGCCTTGCCGATGTGCTCTGGCTCTTCGCGCACGACCCGGCTCCCACCACCGTCAAGTGAGTTCCAAGTCAACTACATTTCCTTGTACCACAATACCCCTGGCTTCACCCTCGGCATCTTCCTCGCCTGCTATGCCTTTTTCGGCCTTGCTGACTGGCGCATGGCATTCATCATTGTCACTGTCGCCATCCTGGCTCTGGCTATTTGCCTCCGACCGAAGCCACTCTCACCACGGTCTAAGTGAGTTTTTGGGTTGACTAGAGAGTGCATTTAACCCCTTGGGATCTTGCCTCCGTTGGTCTGGCCGGCTGGCGCATGGTGTTTATTGTTCTGACTGGTGTCAGCCTGGGTCTCGCGGCTGTGCTCTGGCTCTTCGGGCACGACCAGGCTCCCACCACGGTCAAGTGAGTTGTGGGCTGACTATAGAGTGCAGGTAACCCCTTCATCCTCGGCTTCACCCTCGGCATCTCCCTCACCTGCAACGCCTTCTTAGGGCTCTCCGCCTGGCGCATGGCGTTTAGTTTAGCCACGGCCGTCAGCCTTGGGCTGGCTGCCGTGCTCTGGCTATCTGCGCATGATGACCCCACTGCCTTGGTCAAGTAAGCACGGCAGGCTCTTTGTCTTCTCTAGGCCCATGTTTCTCCGCCTTCTCTACTCCACTCCCTCTTTTAAGTAAGCTCAGCACGCCCTGTCTCTTCTCTCTGTGTGTGATGAGACGATTTTTGAGTCGACTAAAAAAACGGCCCATGTTTGCACTCCCTCTCTCAAGTAAGCTTAGCACGCCCTGAGTCTTCTCTCTTTGCCCATGACTCAACACCGTCGGTCTTGCCAGCACCTCCATAGCTGCTGCTATCAGCACCCCACCCCACCCCACCCCTCCGTCGCCCACTCTACCGACTCTCCCCCTTCTCATCGCCCTCCCGCCTCTCTCCATCAGGTCAATAGATGCGTTGACTGCTGTTGGTGATGAGCCCGACGCACAAGAGGAGTATGGTGTTGTGCCGCTGCTATCTGAAGATCACAGCCTAGACGTGAAGCAACAGCAGCAGCAGCAGCAGCAGCAGCAGCAGCAGCAGCAGCAGCAGCAGCAGCAGCAGCAGCAGGAGCAGCAGTCTCAAGTTAGCGAATCAACCCCACTCCAACCCACCTCCTCCCACCACCGCATCTCCGCCTCCTCCCCATCCCACTCTCCCCATTCCCATCCCCACCCCTCCCCACTCCACCCCACCCCCCTCTCCTCCCCTCCCTCCTCCACCTTCCTCTCAGACATCCTCAAAGTCCTCCGAATCCGAACCTTCCAGCTGATCATAGCCCAGGGAGTCGTGGGCTCCTTCCCCTGGGCAGCAGGGGCCTTCTTCCCCATGTGGTTCGAGCTCCTAGGCTTCTCCCATGCCTCCACTGCGGTTCTCCTCTCTGTGTTCACTGTCGCGTGCAGCCTGGGGGCCCTGTTCGGAGGGTGGTTTGGGGATGTGATGGCACGGAGATGGCCGGATGGGGGGAGGCTCGTGTGTGCGCAGATTAGTGCTGGGTCGGCGGTGGTGCTGTCTACTGTGCTGCTGAGGGCGGTGCCACATTCGCCTGATTATTTTGGGGTGTACATTATGGTGTTGGCCGTTATGGGGTTTCTTATCTCGTGGAATGCCGCGGGCACCAACAAGTGAGTGTGTTTGGAGGCAGGTCAGCAATGCGAGAAACATACAGGGCAGCAGCAAGTGGGCCACTACAGTTGATGCCTTGTGTGCATGATGCCTTGTGCGCATGATGCCTTGTGTGCATGATGCCTTGTTCGCATGGTGCCTTGTGCGCATGGTGCCTTGTGCGCATGGTGCCTTGTGTGCATGATGCCTTGTGCGCATGATTACAACATGCCATCCCATCCATCGTTCCTCAGGCGCTGTCCTTCTCTCCCATACCCCTTTTCTCTCTATGCGTCTTTCACACTGTCCATATCTTCCCATATTTCTCTCTCCTGTGTTCCCTCTTTCCCTCTTTCACTCTTTCCCTCTTTCAATATTCCATCTTTCCTTGCTCTTTCCCTTTCCACCTACCCCCTCCCGATCTCCCGACGACCACCCAGCCCCATATTCGCAGAGATTGTCCCGAAGCGACTACGCACAGACATATACGCCCTCGACCGAACCTTTGAAATGTCCATAGCAGCTTTTGCTCCCCCCACTGTGGGCTACCTCGCCCAGGCTTGGTTTGGGTACATCCCGCCCTCACCCGAACCTGCCGATGCCACTTCTTTGAGTGGTGATAGCAGTACTAGTGTCAGCAGCAGTAGTTCGTGCAGCCGCAGCAGTAGGAGTCACGCGGAAATGGCAGCAGATGCTAAGAATGCAGAGGCACTGTCGCTGGGTTTGTTTTGGACCATGGCGCTGCCGTTTGCGATTTGTTGTGCTTGCTATGGGTGGTTGTATTGGACGTATCCCAAGGACCGGGATCGCGTTCGGGCCGAGGCTGCAGCTGAGGCTCGGGAAGAGAGGAGGTTAGGTGGAGGTGGGGAAGGTAGTGGAGAGGGTAGGTGTTGATGTGACAGGGCCTGTGTACATAAGGTGGTATATTTTCTACCATGTACTAATGATTATAGCATTGTGTGATTATTATTTTCCCTATGTTATCTCTGAATCTGAATCCGAATGCTTTCTTCCACATGCACATTTTCTGTGTTTATTCCTCTGCCAAACGGGAAGGGGCCGTGAGATTCTTGCTGCCTGGTCATTAATGGATCAGATGAAGTTCGTGCGTGTAAGACGTCTTTGTACATGATTAATTGGTTGCACATTGTACGTTTCACAAAAGTATGGTTTATCGAATCCTCCTGTTACGGTGCAATGAATCGAGGTAGCGAGGATTGCACTAGAGTGTTCAATGAGTACAAAGTATGAGCGAAGGCATGAGCGAATACTTATACGCGAAACATGCAAACGGTAACGCGGTGCGTGCGAGCTAGCTAGTGCTACGCTGGCGCGAGGTTCGGGCTAGTCCCGCAGCGTAGGCCGACTCGGCTGCTCCAGCAGTGCGAAGTTTGGTGAAACAGTGCGCGCGAAGTTGGCGAAGCTCCGTTAGCAGTAACGGGCGAACAACGGTTGCGGCTGTACGCGATGTTGACGGTCGCAATAAGGAATAGCGAGAAAATTCCTTACATTACCCCCCCCCCCCCCCCCTCAAGAAGGCCCCTCTGCTACGCGAGTGCATGTATATCGCTGACACCTCGGCTCCTCAGTTATACTTGTAGGGCAGGGTGTTTTTCGATGTTGGCCAGGGGCACCCAACAATCCTCAGTTGGCGTGTGGTCCTTCCAGCAAACGAGGAACTCGATCCTCTTTATGCCTGTTGGGTGTCAAATCCGATGGCTCAGAATCTTCTCGGGCTCAATGATCGGTTCCGATGCAGGGCGAGTCATGGATGGCGGGCGGTGACGAGGCAGTTGGCTCGTGGTTGGGATGTAAGGGCGAAGCAGACTGACGTGGAATGATGGGCTGATGTACCAGTCCGTCGGTAACAGTAAATGGGCAGTAACTGGGGTGATCATGTGGCTGATTTGGAATGGTCCACAGTAGCGGGGTCGTAATTTCGGTACGACGGGCAATCTTAAATTCGGTGTGTTGAGCAGTACGTAATCTCCTAACTGGTACGTGACTGAGAGTCGGTGGCGGTCAGCATTTCGTTTTGTGATGACGTTGGCTTTTTTAATTGCTTCTGCGGCTCTAGTGCTGGCTGCTTGCAGAATCTCGGCGAATTGCTGTGCGCGTGGCGTTGGGTTGTCCGGACTCGGCGTCATGGGCACTGTTGGGTTTTGCCCATAGTTAAGGTAAAACGAGGACTGATGCGTCGTCGCTGACGTGGCGTTGTTGTATGCGAACTCGATCAGCGGCAGCTGCTGCTCCCATGTTGTCGGGTCGTCGCACGTGGCACGAATCAACTGCTCCATCATCTGATTCGTCCGCTCCGTTTGACCGTCGGTCTTGGGGTGGTACGACGAGCTGAACTGTAGCCTGGTCCCGAACTGCTCCCAGAGGTTCTTCCAGAAGTTGCTGGTAAACTTCGTGTCGCGGTCGCTGATGATTGCGGCTGGTATCCCGTGCAGTCGAATGACGGTTGCGATGAAAAGGCGAGCAATTTCTTCGGCTGAGATCGATTTCCTGCACGCAGCGAAGTGAGCCATTTTCGTCAGTCTGTCAACGACGACCATTGCCGCGTCGTTACCCCCAGGGTTCGAAGGTAACCCCGTGACGAAATCCAAGGTAACCTGCTGCCAGGCGTGCTCGGACGGTGGAATTGGCTGCAACCGACCTGCCTTTCTTTTTTCGTGAGCTCTTCATCACCTGACACATAGGAGACGAGCCCACGTGGTGCTGTACGTCGGTCAACAACTCCAGCCAGTAGTAATACCGCTGCAGATGCTGTCACGTTTTCTCTACCCCGAAGTGACCCGAGGTAACCCCGTCGTGTGCCTCCTGCAGTAGCAGTTCCCTCACTAGTGAGTACGCGGGTACCCAAATGCGGTTGGTGCCTGTTTTTATGTAATAGGCTCCCTTGGCTTCTGCCAGTTGCTGTGAATTTCCGGTCGTGAAAAATGGGTCGGTACTATATCCGTGGGTGAATAGGCCTGTTAACAGTGGGTTGGTTTGGGCGAGTAGTATGGCGTGCAGCTGGGCGGTAGGGTGGGTGAGTGCATCGGCGATATTTGATGCGTCTTTTTTGTACGTGACGGTGTAGTGGAAGTTGGACTCCAGATAGTCCAACTAGCGGACTGTCGCGGATTGAGATTCGGTTGGGCGCGAAGGTACTGTAGTGCATGATGGTCTGTCCGTACTGTCACGTCGGCTCCTGTCAGGTAGCACCGCCACACCTTGAACTCGTGCACGATCGCCAGCATCTCGAGGTCGTGTATCGGGTAGTTCCGTTCGGGCGGGTGAAGTTTGCGGGACTCGTACGCGATTGGCTGGAGGCCATTCCCGAATTCATGCCACAGTACTGCTCCCACGCCCCAGCGTAGATCTCGGCCTCACAACTAGAACTGAGAACCGAAGACGAGCGGGTAGACCGCCAAGAAACAGAGCCGGAACCGAGGCTGAAGGTGTAACCCTGTGACGACCACTGCGTAGCTGAGTCGTCAACCCAAGAAGCGTCCGCGTGACCAGTGAGGACAACTGGACCCCGTCCTCCAAGCACGAGCCCCATGCCCGACGTACTGCACAAGTAACTCAGTACCCTCTTCGCAGAATCCCAGTGCACCTTTCGGTGCCTGCCGGGAGCCACGTAGCGAGCCAGGAGGCTGAGAGGGTACGCGAGGTCAGGTCGTGTGCACATCATCAGGTACATGAGGCAACCCACAAGCTCTGGGTACGGACCACTCGGCTCTACGGACTCGTCCGAAGGTGGAGCTGAGAGTGAGTGGCCGGTAGACAGAGGAGTGGGCTGTGGCGAGGAGAACTGGAAGCCGAAGCGCTGAAGGACCTGGTGCACCATGTGTGACTAAGTCAGGGTGATGGTGCGCCGTGCTCTGTCCCGGGTGATCTGCAAGCTAAGATAGCTGCACAGTTCATCCAGGTTAGTGCAGGTATGTCTCTTCTGCAGCTCCGACTTCACAAGGGTCAGTGCCTCAGTGTCAGCAGTGGCAAAAACGAGGTCGTCGACGCACACGAGGACTTAGAACAGCGGCAGCGACGTGTCGGTGCGTAGAAACAGCGACGGGTCAGCAATAGAAGGAGTAAACTCCAGATCCGCAAGTGTAGTCCTCAGTGTGTCGTGCCACTCGCGAGGCGCCTGGCGGAGATCGTAGACTGGCCGTCGGAGGCTCCACTGGGTACCTGCAGGAAACGACCCGGTGAAGCCAGGTGGGCGGCGCAGCCAGATCTCCTCGTGCAGGCTGCCCTGCAAGAGAGCTGTACTGAAGTCCAGAGAGTGCAGCTCGTAGTCACGCTGAGCAGCAACGTGCAACAACACCCAAAGATTGGTCATCTTTGGGGTAGGGGAGAAGGTCTGGAAGTAGTCGACCCCCTGTCGCTGAATGAAGCCTCAAGCAACGTAATGCGCCTTGAAGGCAGGCGGAGAACCCGGCGGCCGTTTCACCCTGAAAATCCACATGCCATCGACTATGTTCGCCTTATACGGGGGAACTGCGTCGACGTAGGTGCCTGTGGACTTCCAGGATGCCATCTCGCCATCCATGGCTGCCTGCCACTGAGAGGAGTAAGGACCCGTAATCGCCTCTGCGTAAGAGCGCGACGTCGGTATGTCTGGTGCATCCGGGTCTCCCTCAGCGGCAAGCAGCATGGAAGCGAAACGAGGTACATCAGCTGCAAGACACTCAAGGTCCTCCTGCCTGTCCTCAAGGACGTCCGTGCCCAGAGCACACGAGGTACATCAGCTGCAAGACACTCAAGGTCCTCCTGCCTGTCCTCAAGGACGTCCGTGCCCAGAGCACACTCACCCCCGACGGACAGAGGACTGGCAGACTCCGACTCAGCAACAAGAGCAATGGCGTAGTATAGACGACAAGCAGCAGCATAGTCAACTAGCTCAGCAACGAGGGCAGACGCAGCAGTGGACTCAAAAGAAGGGTCAGTGACAGCAGTGGCGAGGAGATGAGAGACAGTGGGATTGGCAGGACGAGCAAGGTCAGACTCAGGGTCAAGGACGACATGAAGAGAGGACTCAGGAGGAGGCGGCAGAGGAACACGCAGGGGAAAAGACGAAGGACGAAGTGCCATAGCATGAGTGCCGAGGACAGGAGGAGGACGCGGACGAGGAACCCTATGACCAGTGCGAACAGCGCAAACAAGCGAGGCAGGACGAGACTTAGGCTCACGACGCTATGTACGACCTCCAGTCTGCTCAGTGTAAGGAGAAGGAGCAGGCAGTGGGGAGGCTGGCTGTAACGGCGGCTGCGACTGGTCAGGCAGTGGACACAGTAAGGGAGGAGTAAGGCCAGTAGAAGACGGGAGACCAAGAACCTGCTGAAGCAGGGGAACGAAGTACGGTCGCGGCCGCACAGTGCCTCCAGCACCAGTACCGCCAGACACGGCGCCCCCAGCTCCAGCACCTCCAGCTCCAGGGTCAACACTCCCAGTGTCTCCAACTCCAGCTCCTCCAGCTCCAGCGCCACCAGCGCCAGTGCCTCCAGCTCCAGCGCCAACAGCTCTAGTGTCACCAGCTCCAGCTCCTCCAGTTCCAGCGCCACCAGCTCCAGTGCCTCCAGCTCCAGGGCCTCCAGGCTCCGCAAGGTCTCCAACTCCAGCTCCTCCAGCTTCAGCGCCCCCAACACCACCAGTCCCAGCAGCTCCAGTACCCCTGGTACGAGCACCTCCAGGACCAGCACCTGCAGCACCTCCGGTACCACCAGCTCCAGCAGTAACTCCAACACCTCCAGCTCCAGTGTCACCAGCGGCGGAGACTCCAGCTCTTGCAGCTCCACTCCGACGACGGGTGTGCTTAGCAAACCACTCGCGCAGCTGCTGCGGGGAGAGAGGCTCCAGCCAAGGAGACAGTCATGGCGAAGCACCCGCAGGACCTCCAGAAGAAA